CAACTAATTTTTACTAGACAAAAAAAAAATCTCTCAAAAATGGGTTGAATTAACGCACACAATATATATATATATATGTTACGGTAAGTAACTTTTTAAGCCGTGGCCTCGGGGCCGTCGCGGCTCAGTTCGGGGGTCCGGATGTCGGGGATCTCGGGCGGCGTCCCTCGGGGTCTCCCGGCGGCCGAGCACGGTGGTGCGGGTCGGGAGGTCGGTTCGGCAAGTCGGGTCGGCGATTCGGGTCGGGAGGCCGCTCCGCCGCAGCTTCAGGAAGAGGCGACACCGTCTCGCACCTGCACACAGGTCGGGCCGGGAGCTCGGCCCGACCCCTCCGACGATCAAATTAGAGAAAGATGTGGATGGGATTGTGGATGAGGCAGAAGAAGAGCCTCTGAGTGTTGTGTCTGAGTGAGTTCCTCTCCCTCTTTCTCTTTAGAGTTTGGGGTATTTATAGATGAAGTTTGATGTTACCTGACGTGGTTGTCTGCAGGGTAGGATTGTACCTTTGGTGGCGTCTGACATTGCCACTGGAGCTGCATGGGAGGCCGAGCTGCTGCAGGGTATGACGAGCCTCGGGCAGTGTGTTGCTCAGGGGATGCTGTCATGGTGTGTCACATCGTCATTTTTGCCCCTATCAATATATATACACAATCTAAAGGTGTTGCATTACCCCTCAAACCTCGTAATGCATTCAACAGGTGTACTGCCCCAACGCAACATCGTCATGGTAATCTTTGGTCATAGTTTGACTTTAACAGACTCGAGTTTAACTTCGGTAACCTAAGCCACACCCGCAGGTGTATCCTGAAGAGACGATGCGGTGATCTCAGCGGTGGTCCGTGGGTTTCGCCCGAGAGATCAATCACCTGGAAAGAGAAGGCTGGCAGAGAGCACAGGCCGAGGATACGGCTCCGGCGATCACTTCGCCGCAAATGAGCGACGAATCAAAGCAACGTGGAAAGCATGCTGATGCTGATACGCTCGAGAATCGAAGTGGCTCTCGTCGTATCAGTCAAACAGCGGAAAAAAACTGGTATTCGCTGTTGAATGATCCGCTGGAGGATGTCATCTACCATAACCCCAGAGAGACGCAAGCAAACACAGCGCGAATGTGACAACACGACGCACGTCCACCAGCAGCTGATGTCATATTTGCGCCGCAGCTGCTTGAGGAAACGACCGAAAGAGCTCTCGCGCCAAAAGCTTTTGCGGTGCACGTCTGTCGGCCACTGCTGCCGGTGTCGCTGCATGCGGCCGCAATGGCACGCATCAAGAACACGTTGCGGTGCAGAAAGATGCAACCATGGAACGGCAAGTCGATGCTTGCTGCAGATTAAAATGAATATAAAGGAGCGAAGCTTTGACCGTACTCTCTTCGGGTGTTCCAAATGCAGTGAATCTGCCATGGAAGAGCCAATCCCATCCATAAGGTTGGTCTTTCAACGTCACTACCATGGAGCGGCGGTGCTCGTGGCCCGTACTCCACGTAGAGAAGCAGAAGTAGAGGCTAAGAAAATGCAAATTGCCATCGAATGATGTTACTTTTCGATAAAGAACAATAATTTTTGTTGATCCGTCTTCAACCTCTGCTTCTTTTACGGTGAGAAATGCATCGCATGGACGACCGTATCTAAATGAAACACTATAATTCGACCAAGTAGGAAAATAAGAGAGATGAGCAATGGAATCGGACCTATGAATGTTATGAGTAGTGGAAATGCTACGTCCAAATGAACTCCTGAAATATGGATTTAAAGTCAAAGCAAAGATGTACTGACCATAATTGATTTGACATGGAGAAGATAACTAACACGTGCAAATGCTTTCATTCAACTTTAGAGGCTACGAGACAACTGTTCTTTGTTTTGTGTTGATGCGTGTGTGAAAACTTGAACGAGAAATAAAGGAATAATCTCACATAGCGATCCGATGATTGATTAAGTTTGATCAATAATTTAAAAAGATTAAATTTCTGTGTCGAATTGATAACTAATCTCATAATTGATTGATTTCGGCTCAACACTTATCATATGATTTAAAATAGCTCAAATTATGTTAACCCAAGTAAATAAAAAAATATTTTATAAAAAAAATCAAACGATAAGTAAGATTTGGGTCCTTCAAAATAAAAATATATTAATAAGTGAGACTAATGTTATTATTCTAACTTTTATAATACCGACTCGGTATGTGTATATTAATCTCATAAGCTAAAGTAAACCTAGTTTTGAAACTGACCACCACTTATAATTTTTTTTAAATATAATTATGATCGACTTGTGATGGGAAGATTGTCAATGATGTCTCTATCAACCTGATTTGACCCTAAGTTACATGTGCATAAATTCAAAGATAACTAAGAAGATGACTCGAGTGATCTCTTACCTACCTTATGGTCGACATGTAAAAAGATTATAATAAAATGGAATACTTGACGTAATATCTTTGATGTTTAAGCGTTAGGATTGAAATGAAAAGCGAAGTTATGGGTGAACAATAACTATCTCGACAACAGTAAATTGATGGGACCTTTATAATAGGCTGAGCCTTAGGAAAACATTTGCGGCATAAGCCGCATATTTGAATTGTTGTTTTTCTTTTATTAAAACTAAAAAATAATTATTGTTTGACAAATGAAACCTTATAGAGTACAATTAATCAATTTAATATCTCATACAAATCCTCAACGAAAAATTAGTCTAAAGGGCTTTGCGGCGACACTGTCATCGTCGATGGCTTCGTTGTGGGCTCATATTAAAGACCAAAGAAAAATAAGAAGCAACAAAATTGACCAAATCCCATTTCTTTAATGTTCCACAGATGCAGACCCGCTCAGCGGTTCACATTCTTTCTTCCCATCTGAAACACATGCTATTTTAATCCTTCCGATCCAATAAACTATACGGTGGACTGCGCTCACCGTAGAATTTGGCATATAAATACGTATGTCACAAGTCAACCAATCAGAGGACGGCAGAAGACGACTTTTTTCTCTTTTTATGCTTTTAGATCATCAACCGTTGCAGTCTGCATCGTGATTCGCGATTTTGTTGATCTCGAATCACAATGACGGTATGTCCGTGCGTATTATTTTCTCGTTCATCTTTTCGTGGAGGGGAATCGTTCCTCCTTTGCATTCAAGTCGGCCAAACACGACTTGCATCATTTTTCTTCTTTAATTTATCCAATCAAAAAAGTCCACTCGCCACCATTTTTATCACGTTAGCATCACAATCCAAACCTCACATCACCACCACCACCACCACCATCACCTTCCCCCGCCCCCTCCCCACCTCTCTTTCTTTTTCTCACTTGTCCATCTTGCTCTATAAATACGCTCGTCCTATGGACGCTTACAGCCGTAGCTCAACAAACGAGCCTTGTTGCTGCGGTTGTCGTCCCCAAGATTGCTTCGACGCCTTGGAGTTGTAGTCTCATGGATTGCCCGAAAGGATGGCCCGAACAGGTAGTTCGTGTCCAGGCCTTGTCCGACAGCGGTCTGATGACGATTCCAGACCTGTACGTCAAGCCGCCGGCCGAGCGCCCGTCGGTTGGTAACGGTGGCGACGTTACGTCCGACATCCCGGTCATCGAACTGGGGGGGCTGGCGGAGGGCGCGGCGGAGTGCCGCGCCACCATCCGCGCCGTGGGGGACGCGTGCAGCGAGTGGGGATTCTTCCAGGTGGTGAACCATGGGGTAAGCCCGGACCTCGTCGCCAGGGTCCGGGAGGTGTGGCGGGCCTTCTTCCATCTCCCTATGGAGGAGAAGCAAGCTTACGCTAATGACCCCAAGACTTACGAGGGCTACGGCAGCCGCGTCGGCGTCGAAAAGGGTGCCATATTGGACTGGGGTGACTACTTCTTCCTCCACCTCCTCCCCGAATCCATCAAGAACCAGAACAAGTGGCCTGCCCTGCCATCGTCTTGCAGGTACAGTACACTCCATTGTCATATAACAGTACTAGTAACGACGGAAAACCATAGTATTCATGGACATGCATGCGCGTGATCGAGCAGGGAGACGGTGCAAGAGTATGCAGATGAGTTAGCGAAGCTGTGTGGGACGCTGATGAAGGCGCTGTCCATAAGCTTAGGCCTGGACGTGGAGCAGCTGCAGACCGCCTTCGGAGGGGACGCCGTCGGCGCCTGCCTCCGCGTGAACTACTACCCAAGGTGCCCGCAGCCGGAGCTCACCCTCGGCCTCTCCGCCCACTCCGATCCCGGTGGCCTCACCATCCTCCTCGCCGACGACTGCGTCAACGGTCTCCAAGTCCGCAGAGGCGACGACTGGGTCACCGTCCAACCCATCCCCGGCGCTTTCATCGTCAACGTCGGCGACCAGATTCAGGTATAGCCCCGATCCACCTTGTGGCGGTACGTGTGTCGTGCATCTCTTAGCGACTACTTTGTTCGGTGATGGTTATGACGTATCTTATTTACGTATGGCCATTCGGATGCACGAGTCCGACATCCCCCATCCCTCTGTGGATGACGCGAGGTTTTGTCTTCATATACCGTGTGCTTTGTCCTACCTAGTTTTGGACACTTGCCGCCATCGCTGTTCGCCCTCTGGCGCTGGTGATCGATGGCTATCTTAATATTTGGTCAACATCCGAAACACATGGGCCGGGTTGACCGCATCACAGTGACTTACAAAACAAGTCTACCTAAGCCGCCCACGTCGGATGCGATGCACACGATGGATGTGGAAACGGCAGCAGCAGGTTTAACCTGCGTTTCATTTGGTTGCAGGTTCTGAGTAACGCAGTGTACAGGAGCGTGGAACACCGAGTGGTGGTGAACGCAGCACAGGAGCGGCTCTCGCTGGCCTTCTTCTACAATCCGAGGAGCGACGTAGCGATCGCGCCGGTGAGCAAGCTGGTGACGCCGGAGCGGCCGCAGCTGTACCGGCCGATGACCTTCGACGAGTATCGTCTGTACATTAGGAAGAAGGGGCCGAAGGGGAAGTCGCAGGTGGAGTCATTGAAGGCACAGAGTGTTAATTGATCAGGTGTACGTCATCTGCTTGCTGTGATATGTCCACATGTAGCGAGCCATGGTTGCAGATCTTGCTTGGGTTATACTATACGTACATGTAGAAGTTGTTGGGAGGTAAAGAAATAGTTCATAAATGAATAAATAATATGTCAGAAAATCCATATAAATCTAAAATATCATTTCATTGAAGAAGTGAAAAAGCTTAAATGCATTAACATGTCCCTCTATTTATACAGATTAGAAGAGAGGATTTTCCTCAACAGAATAGAGGATTTCTCTCGACATAATAGAAAGATTAATCACCGTAACGAGATATTGCTCTTCCATAATGACGTTGAATTTTCATATTTTTGTCTGTGAATATGTGATATCTTATAAAAATAAATTCAAAAATTTATTAGGTTCCAACAGATTAAATCGACACATAATTGTGACAAAGAAAAGATGCATGCCGAATACTCCTAATGACATGTAGCATGAGAAACCAATCGCTCAAGAACAAGATGTCGATCAAATCAGTGTTCTTTCTTTCTGTAACACTTTGACAAGCGATGAACTCTTTGCTAACATCTTCAAGACTAAGTGGGCCGAGTTAATTACCACGACACATTCTCTTTGATCATGCACTAAGTTTTACAATGCCGAACTCTAATCCATCCAATAAATGGAGATGCTCTTTTGTTTGTTCTTGTGATAACCACGGTTTAAGGACAGAGCAAAGAAGAGCTCAGCCATAAAGGAGGGGAAGAACTAAAGAATGATTAAGCAGTACGACTTTTTACTCGTAGCGAATCAATCTCTGTTCGAGCATTAATGCATGCCGACATCTTCTTCTTTGAACCCACGAATAATCTTCTATGTTCGATCATGCCAGTACGAAGTGTATGTGAATCTTTAATGGTTCATCATGGTCGGCATGATGAACCATATTAACAAGACTTTTGATGAGGTCAACGACCCTTCGAGCAATCTCCAAACGACTCGAGCAGTAAACAACGGGTGGAGCCAACATTCTTAAAGCTCCATCCACTGAATCGAGACGTCACTCACAAGCTTCAACAACGCTGCTTTGATTATTCCTGAGAGAGAGAGAGAGAGAGAGAGAGAGAGAGAGAGAGAGAGATTCCAGGCTCTGCTGACACAGTTAATGAAGAGATTTCTGTGGACTCCAATGGATTTCGCCACTGGCCATGTGGAGGGAACCCCTCATCGTCTGCAAGCTGATCATGAGACCCAACTTCTCTCCGCATGCAATGAATCAGAGTTCTATAAGCTTCACCGGTCCTTTCTACAAATAAAATAGGAAGGTCATGAGATGCCGACCTCCGATTGCTTTCAGTAAAGCATGGAGTGCTCCTCCTCCGTCGCAATAGATGCCGCCGACATGTCAACCTAAGATTCTACTCAAAGCTGGCAGTTGTCGACACACTTCCGCCTTCTTTGTCAAGGCTTCCCGCGTTGTGTGGTGTTCAATGGTATATGTGCAGGTTTACAAGTCTTCCCAATATTTTCACATTGCACTTTCTAGTCTGTAAGCCTTAAGTCTTCGTGTAGCATGTGAAGTCAGAGGTGTGGGGGATGATGACATGTCGTACGGTGCTCGTTGCTCAGTTGATGGCTTTGGCTTTTCTTATCAGGATGGCTTTGACCGGTTACCGAAGAGACTTGATTGTTTGGTTCTGTACATTTAATGATGAGCGAACCATAATGCAATCAGGTCAAGGGTCGGTCGGTTGGGGGGGAGAAAGGACAACAATAGCAGCGGAAGTGAAGAGAGAGAGAGAGAGAGAGAGAGAGAATTAGCGGAAAAGTCTATAGTATTAGGTTTTTATTAGCTGGTATCTGCATAGTTAATTTTTACTCACGGACGTCCCTTTGATAATATTTTTGAATCGATCTGTTTTACACCCATAGATTCATGGGCCGATTTGATCCAATCTAACCATTTGGATCGAATTGAATTGAATTGAATTTTGTTGAATATATGAAACATATGATTATAATCAAGATATCCTCATCAAATCAATCTAATTTTTTTTCTTCTAAAATACTAGACATGATTTTAAGGTATTTAACATTATTTTTGTTTATAATTTTAGGATGAATAAATTTTTAAATAATATATTTTTGATTGAATTGATGATAAACTATAATTAGTTAAATTTTCACTAAATCTTTCTAAACTTCTTTAGTATTACTAAGTGAGATACAATATATTTAGTATTATTTTTTTATTTTTATATAAATTTAGAGTGTTATTTTTGAAATAAGATAGTTTTAAGTACAATTTTTGATTGATTGTAACTCAAGTATAACTCCTTATATTTTTTTTGTTAAATCTATCTAAACATCTCTAGAACTACAATGACGAGATATAATATATCTAGTATAATTTTTTTTTCGTATGAATTAATAATAATTAATTTTTAAAAATAATATTATTTTTGTGTTGAATGATCAACTTGAGTGTAACTTCTTTTTAAAATAAACTTAGAAGGAAGAGCAAGTAACATTCAAGTTGAAGTGGGATAATAAGGAGGAAAAGGTGAAGAGGAGGATGAGAAAGAGGAGAGAGGAGGTAATGATGGCGTTGGGAGTGGATTATGAGGAGGAGGAAGTCTAAGAGGTCGGGAAGGAGAAGGTCATAGTACATAATAAGGAGAAGGAGACGGAGATGATAGAGTAGAAGGAGGAAGACGCTAATAAGAAAGGTGCGGAGGGGAAAGTCAATGAGAATGAGAAGGATAAGGAGACGAAGATGATGGAGCGGAGGGAGGAAGAAGCTAATAAATAGGAAGGAAGTGAAGGAGAAAGTCAATGAGGATGAGAAGAAGATAGGTAGAGTAAAGAGAGAAGGTGGCAAAGGAGATAAAAAAAATCTTTTTATCGAGAGGAGTCAACACTACCCGATTACTCATTTCTGATGTCTAAGTTGACTTTCTTTTATGAGTGCTCCCAACACTAATTTAAAGAACGATTCAACTCTTCAATGGCATAGAAAGAACACGCTTGTATTCCACAAAAGAAAAGCTTGCATCAAAGGGCATATACTACAAGTGCAAGTCATGCCCCCTGGGGCTGGGAGTGCCTGACGCCCCTATTCCATGAGACTCTTTAAACTTCCGGTACCTACATATGCCCCTCTGAAGCTAAAGGGGCTGTGTCATATGCCACACTAGTAATAACAAGAGCCGAGACATTATACATGTACAAAAAAAATAAAAAAATAAAAAACAAAAAACCCCTCATTTCATGGAGAACTTCTGAAAGCATATTAACACTTCATTTTGGGAAAAAAGAAAGTTTGGAAAAAAAAATAGTTTTATACAAAGCTGTATGAAGTATGTCGTCCCACAAATAAAGTCTATTTACAAATTAACAGGATTACCGAGTGACCTAATAATCATCCAAGACAGACTTATTGCTCCAGCAAACAACCTTTCTGAGCGGAGGCCTTGCAGATTGGGCACGCATTCTTGATCAGTAACCATTTCTTAATACAACAAGCATGGAAATCATGTCCACAACTCAATCTTCCAAGACAATCTTTTCCCTTGTATGTTTCCTGTTCATGATATAGAATAGAATATAACAATCAGGTTAAGTAGCAAAAGACAGGTTCTGTGGTCATCATAGAAATATGTTTTCTACTTGTGCTTGCACAAGATGGAAAATGTCTGATGAAATGATTTATTAAACCTCACCAGGCATATCGTGCAGCGTCCTTTCTCATGGTCACCCGGCGTTTGATCTGAACAGTAAATTGCCTCCATCAAGCATCTGGAGATGGCAACGTCTGATAGACCCGTGTTCACGTTACCAATCCGTTCTTCCAAAGCAAGAAGATCCTACAAAATAAAAGAGTAGATATTGGATCGATTTAGGCAAAAATCACTACATCGCAAGTACTGGATTATGCAAAACTCTCTTTACCTCATAGCTCATGTTATCTATGTCTAGTCTCATGTCATGATGCTCATCAAACAAATTTCTGGAATCATACAAGGTTGACCGATCCATCACAGCTAGAGTCTGCAATGTCAATGCAACGACGAATTATTCTCCTCTGATACGAGGGAGTAAAGAGGAAGAAATTATTTCTGCAATAATAGCATCATAGTTTATTCTCTGGTGATCAGAACTTCACCTCTGATGCCCATCTACTGTGGCCGATGCCCTCATCCCCATCATCGCGAATCCTTATGCTCCCATTCCTCTCATTCATATGCCCTTGCAAAGAGGGATGCCCTGGATACCGTGGAGGGACAACTCTTCCCACTGCTGGTAGCCTAAAATCCACCAAATTGGCTTCCGAACCCACAGATCGGTAGCTTGAGTTGGCCCTATACGATGTTCTTTGGCTATAGGAACTGCGATCCACCATTAAGTCAGGCGAAGGCCAACCTGGAATGAGAAAGAAGTTGCGACGACCATCAATATCCACAGCAATGTTGGTGGCATGGCGTCCAGGCAACTGGTTCATCTCATGATTGAAGGAACCAATCCCTGCAATATGTAGGTCACATTAGAAAACAAATTATTATCACCATATACTACAAAGTGACAAAAGTGTATATACAAAGTACAAAGGTGGTAATTGGACAAACCTGAAGACATAAGCCTTATATGGGGATCCAGAGGCACAGGAGCAAGGTTCCGATGCCCAGGCAAATTCACACCAGAAGTATTTGCTAGTGGATGAAAATGGTCAGAGAAGTTGCTGGATGAATGGTTTGTCAATGAGATGTTACCAGGATGAAGCACACTGGCAGGTCTACTTCTAACATTCCAGTGATCTTCCTCAGAAGATAGCAGATTGTTGCTTCTGTAACTAGAGGCCATGTTGACAGGATCCCGTAGGAAACAATGAGGACCTAATGTATGTGTTGATTCTAAAAGCCCAGTCGAAACAGGATGATTGGAAGAACTTGCATCACTACGATGTCCATTTGTGCTTCCACTGTCAGGAAAAGTTTGGATTGTCGGCATTTTCCTTTTATACGTTGCTCCATCATAGTCTGTGGGAGGGTTAATTGTGCCATTAATATCCCCAACAGTGACTTGGTTGAAGCAAGGTTCATGCAGGACATAATATGGTGGAAATTGACTAGAGCTGCGAACAGATGGATAAGGCGTGTAAGATTCCTGAGCCATTCGTGAATTAGCTCTTACATAGCAGGGAGCCTCTATGTTAAAATTTGGCATGACAGGATAATTTGTGGCAGATGCAGGATTAGCAAATGCCACAGAATTTGGTCCACAAACTGCAATATTTTCAGGAGATATGAAAGTACCAGGTCCTGCAAACAGATTAAAAGGAATAAACTGAATTACTAGTTAAAAATTGACTATCATGATGAAATATTGATTCATAAAACTGATCAATCACCCAAGTTTGACCGAGGATCAGGGTGTGGATGATTCCATATTTGCTCTTGATCCCTCACAGACATCTGAGGTTGACCAACCAAGTGTCTATGTTCCATAGCCTCTTTGTCAAACTAAAATCAGCATCAACTCTGTAAAAATTAAAATAAATTAGTCTAATAATTAGATTTTACATGTAAAAGGAAATTTGGATAACAGGCCTTTTGCTTGACTAGTTTGTAATCAAAATTCAAAATCCCTGCTGAACCAAGATTTTATTCCCACTCCTTAAGTTTTGGGTTCTTTGATTTTCGCCCCTTTGTTTTGGTGGCCATCCTAAGTGGGTATATGTAAAGTTTATTCACCCATAATATATCATATACACATATGTGTATGTATCTGTCTGTGTACACCATATTTATATATTGATCTTTTGGTTTAAAAAACACAGTCTACTCGGGCAAAAATCAAAGTCAAATAGAGAGCAGAAGTTCTCCAATAGAACATTAATCTTGGGTATTCAACTAGCACCATACTTTAAGACTGTTGCCAATCCGTAGAACTATAAAGCATGAATGTATATATCCAGAATTGCTTGAATACCCTGGGAATCACCACAGCCAGCATCAGTTCCCATATTCCAGGTACTTGAACCGGCCAAGGGTAGATTTGTGACTGTGAACTCTAAAGGCATAGAAAATACAAAAGATATTCGACTAGAAATTTTCACTATGATAACAAGTAAAACAATTCATAAATAAATAAATAAAACTAAAATTCCATTGTGCATCTCAAATCAAACTTAGCTTGCATGCTGTTATTAAAGCAAAAGAACACTGTTATCAACAATCATAACCAAGGGATTATGTTGCATATCCTCCAAAATATACAGGTATAACAATAGATTACCAGTCAATCTCATCTCATGACACCCATACCAAAGGGTTGGTAGACAGAAATCCAATCTTAATATAATCTGCATCATAGTCACTGGTTGTCCCAGTCTCACTTTGAGGAGCTAACAAAGACCGTAAATGTGTTACTTTGCTACTTCCCAATATCAAATGCTATCTGCAGTCTGGAATAATCCTTCTAGTCATTCACAAAATACCAATAAGAGATCCATATCGTCAGACAATGTCTGACTGCAACTCGAACACCCCAAGTAATTGCTGCTATCATCAATCAACAAAGCAATTCAAGTAATGTTTACTTCTAGAGGGGCATTCTGGCTCAACCTTATAACCACCAGCAACCCAGAACCTCTAAGTTTTAGACCTAGTACAATGCAAAAGAATCTGGCTGCTCAGACCTTACTTAGCTAACAGTTGCACTGCTACTCTTCAGTCTAGGCACTCAAAGATCATATTTCTCTACTTACAGACTGGGACTTTGAAAATTCCAGTTGCACAAAGTCCACCAGACATGAAACAGCACCAAACACTTTTCTAGTTGTGCTTCTTCAATTTTCTTTTTAACGACATTTTGTATTTCGGGTCTGTGCTGTTAAGATAGATAACCAGATCATGAACTTTTTAACTTCAGGAAGCAAAAGTGGAGACCCAACAAGAAAAATGGATAGATAATCACCATAAAATGTTATGGACTTCCAAATAGACCATGGTACACTGAAGAGATCAAAATGGTCGAGCTACACAGGCTTCCAATAATAAAAATGACAACATCTTGACTCTAAACAGTATCCACAGAAGTTTGGGAGGAGCATTTTGCATGAAAGATACTTCCAGCATCCATAACCAAAGAAGCTGACACGTGTTTAAGCAATATTATCAGATGAACAATAACTTTGTTCTGTACAATTGATCACACTACTCCAAAATCCAATGAGTGTGAATTCTAAATCTATCTCTAAAATTAGTAGCCAATTATTACATGGTCCAGAACCTCGTGAACATTGAATAATGCCTTATCTGAAGTGATGATAAAAACATGGGTTCAGAGGAGACATGACCATAGTAAAAAGCAAAAAAAAAGGAGATTGCAAATCAATAGGTATCATTAAAATGCTGAAAGATAACATACAAATTCTGGCAAGTTAAATGGAGCTCTGACCAACGTCATCACAGCATATACAATGAAGCGATGTCACCCAAAATTAACTTTCACTGCCATCATCAGTTCTTTTAGTGATACACAGGCACCAATAGGGATGGTTGCATGCACACGTTTTTTTATTTCCACGTTTCCGATCATCACACCATCCAGAGGGTAATCATTGAGGGGAAAAAAAAAATCAAAAGTGATTGATGGCCTATTCCATTTGCAGGATGTATGTAAACTGACTAAAACTCAAATACAGATCCCCAAAGATTGCGACCAGTTCATACACCATAACAATCAAAGCCTGTTAGGTGTGGGCGCTACCACCAACCAAAAATATTTCTTTTGTTAAATATAATGTATCATCACTGATCTTAAATACTATGCTACTCAGAGACGAATAAATGTGCAAAGGCATTGATCGTCCAACCATCATGGGAAAAATCTTGAAGGTTGGAAAAGTAACTGTCATCCTATCTTCAGATTTATCAGCAGGCGCTACAACAGTAATTATAGCATATGGTTGTACCAACATCATCTTCATTAAGGGCATCACAAGATTACCAAGGTATCATCGGGCCATCACATCATTGATGCTCCTTTGCATATTTTGCATAACCACTTCAATTTTCCAACTCAGAGAAGCTAATCCACAAATATTATCATCCCAGAATGATGTTGAATTGAACCTTGCTTCTGACATAATAATTGAAGAACCCAAGGAGACAAAAAAATTCAAGGAGCCTCATGCTGCTGTTGATGTATTAAAACTCCAGATAGGCAACATTGGTATGTCATCAAGATATGAGGCCAGCATTAAAGGGCCTCAAAGCTGAAGGTGTTAACACTTGATAGTTTGTTTAAAAACTAAAAACTCAAGATTCCAAACTCTTTTCTTCATGGGCCAAATGGTAAAAAATGTTCCTGCAACACCAGTTATGATTCAGTTGAAAACTGACAAAAAATGCTGTCAACGTAACCTACCTTATACAAAGCCACCTCTGAATGACTGTCAAATTTGTGACCCTCGTGAAACTAATTGCCTGAACAAAGACTGAAAATAGTTCAGAGACCGAATAAAGAAAAAAAGATACAAAAATGATTTCCCCCCCTTTTTTCACCCTTTCCCCAGGGAAACCCAACCTCAACATGCTAAGAACAGTCAATCCACGACATAATAAATATTAAGTGACTTTATGGTGATGCTCTAACTGCTGAATAGAAGGATCAACTTAACCTGCAACTCACCTGTGCATAATTGAGTTCCAAGCCAAATGACAAAATTAATGGTCCCTGGTATTCCAAATTATGGTTACCGGACAACTTCTACCGTGGCAGTTTCCAAGAAAAGTTATTAGTACTGAAGCAACATACATTTACAACTATGGACCTGTGAATTAGACAAGACCAGCTAATCTTCAGAGGTTGCATATAAAAATCTACAAGAATAAGAGCACCTGGGGTAAGCACTATGATTCGCCATTGATATCTAAAATAATCTGGAATGTAAGGATGTGGCTAATATTAGGATTCTTGTCCATTCCCAACCCAAGTAAATTTTTATACCACTAATAAGCTTTGGTACCAATGACAGAGAATAATATTAGTGTGATAACAACAATGTCAGTCAATCCATCCATCTTCAGTTATATTTCACTCAAATTATTATGCAAACTTGCTTATTGTCTAGATCTGTCAATCACAACATGAAGCAACAGCATAAAGAGAAATTAAGAAGACTTAAAATCATAAAAATCTGAATGTGATGATAGTTTTCTATACTCACCCAATCATCATATGTTTATGCTTTGTGTGTAATGAAAAGCTCAATGTCTAAATTGGAAAGTCTTTGTCATAACAGCTGATCAGAAGAATAATCCAAACAAATTTCACTTACTAAACTGCTTCCTTAAAAGTAATATCAATGCCTTCGCTTCTCTGATCTTTCTGTACAATTTAGCCTAAGGTTGATGGCTGACCCAGAATTGCACAAATTTGATATATGAGTTTGCTTAGTTACTTGACTATGCAGAAAAAGGATGTGAGTTACCATTGGCAATATAGTAATGAAGTCAAGATTTTTCCAAATGATTGTGGAATAATTCAAATTGGGAATTGAGAGAATTTCATGATTATGAATTTTGTAAACTTAAGTTGCAGAAAACAAAATAATATATTGCAAGGTGATGATGGTGATTTTTGTAGATGTCACTAAAGGTTTTCTAACCATGGATTCCTAAAGCAAGAATACGCCGATCATGGAAAACAGCTGATAACAAAATTTATATCATAAAATGTTGTAAAGTACTTATTTGCGACCTTAGAAGAAAAACAAAGCTTCCCATGTGACAGATACCATGGCTTTCTTGATAAAACATACCAAAAGATCTAACAAAAAAGAAGAATAAGAAGTGTTGAATTCGACATACGACAATCTAAACTGCAGTAAATTGTAGCATGCCCATGAAACAGATGTGAAGCTTTAGAGAAACATTAGTATATCAAATAGCTCACTAAAAGTAATCTAAAGGTATAAAAAACAATGCTCAAGAAAAGAGTCAGAACATTTGCCTGGAGAGGAAGATGAATTAAATCAATAATCTAAGAGAATAATCTTCACGGGCTTTGATTGTATTCTATGCCATAATCAAGCCAAAATTCAGTTTATGGCATTACCTAAATGGGACGAATGAACTGTTCTCCTACACTTATCTGAAGGACAAATGGCTAGAACTGCCTTCACGGTCATTACCTTGACTCACAAAGTCAAATGTAAAACTCCTCCTCCCTGAAGAAGGAAGAGTCATGCTTGGCTCAGGCACCAAAAGAGGGTTGTCAAAGATTATATGATAAGCTTTGATCAGCAGAAAAGATACTTGCAAATGCCAAAAAAGTTGAGCTCCACCAAACATCAAAAGATGGCCACAAAATGTCTTGACACTTCAGTGATCCCTTAAGAGCAACTAATAAGGAAAGTAACTCAGGATAACTTCCATCATCAAAACTCAACCTTTTGTCTTTGTTGAGACATTCAGGTTGGTTAGGAAATTGTTGCACAAGTAATAGGTCTGAATTTCAAGTGTATTTGATGTGATGAAAATTTCTTCAATTTTTTTAAACTCAACTTTAAATTCAACTAGGAACTATATCTTCTTATAAAATTAATGAGAGAAACCTTATCCACGTAGCTTGACGCGCACCAGAGAGCATAAGACTTAATTGTGAGGAAAACTGCCTAATCCAGAAGGCTTCAAGAAACCAAGCTCAAAACTCAACAATAGAAGACTGAATCAAGGGGGAAAAATCTTAAAGATCCGAAACTTCATCCTTGTATATGCAACCCAAATTGTATGAAGTAAAAGACTGACAAAATGATCGGTGTGATTACAAAGGTTTCCTGCAAGAACTGTGAGGTATTAAATCAATATCAAGATCTTCCTCTTTCCTCGTGCAGAGAGACAGGACATCGTCACAGAAGGCAAATTCCCTTCTGGCAATTTCGGATATATCAATTCCAACATACTCGTCAGTCAAATTTTCCAGCGAAAAGCGCGCCCGAGCCGATGGATTTGCCATAGACAAGTACAACTCCCAACGCATATACCAAATTTAAACCAAGACAAACATGAACCACACATGAGAAAAAATTTTGGCAGGTAAAATAAACGTCAATCGGACGCCATGTCGGCAATCGAGAGGCAACAACGGGGTCGATCTACAAGATAACGGCATACCTTCCAGTCCGTAGAAGATTTCTTGTATCGCGCCTCGATCTCGATAGATTAGCGCCGAGATCTAAAGATCTGCCTTCGATCGGAAATTTAGGTTAGGGTTCGAAAGGGCACAAAAGGGGAGAAATCAACTCGACGACACGACGACATGAGCCCATCGTCGTCGTCGAGGAAGAAAGAATCAACGACGACCACCAAACGAAGAGGGGAGGATTACTCACCGACGGAAGCAACCACCGCTTCCCTCCGGCTTCCAATCTGTGTCTCAATTCAGCCCCGTGCGCTGTCTTTTGGGGCATATATATAACGCACTGTCAGTTCTTATCATTTAATAAACAATTATAAAAAATAATAAAAAAATTAGTTTTCTGTTAGTGTCTATCGCAAGCGTGGTCGATGTTTGATTCGGCTGATCCGACTCAATTGGGTCGCATCAAATGGGCCGATTGGGCCGAGCCTAGCCTTTGGTTGCTCGTGTTCGGATTTGAACCGTTCGATTCAGCTATTACTGTTCGAGTTCGTCTGATCGTTTCTTGATTTGATTCACCCTTTCGATTTCTCGTTCGATGCACGATGAAATGATTCGATCGGTGCTTTTGTTTGATGGGCCCAGAGGCAGCCACGGCCCCACCTAAAGGTGCATGAGGACTACTGACACGTCCTACGATTTAGCCTGACCAATGGCACCGACGAAGTCTCATCTGACATGACCACCCATGTGGGCCACCACCGCCTGATCATTCACCACCATTGGATTACAATTCTACTCGATAGAGCTCGACAATTACTCACTTCGATCCCAACTCACACTCGTCTTTGGTCGCCAAAATAATAATAACAATAATTATATATATATATAGGTCAATAACTTTTATTTATATTCATAAAAAGTTATTTTTTATATTTTTTTTTCAAAATATGAAGATATATAAATATTGTGGAGTTGGAGGAAAAATGAGAATGTGTGGCTGGTGAGGAAGCTAAAACGATGAAGACCTTTTTCTTTGGGATGAGCATATAGTGGCTGATAAGGGGGACATGTAGGATGAGAGCAGAACAGTAGTGGATAAGGAATAGGACCGATAGGAAGACATAGTCGACGATGGGGATGCATGCAATGAACAGCGAGGCCAGTTGTTGTGCTTCTCTGTGCTGATACAAGTGACGGTGACGTGAAGTCGCAATGCAAACCGTACGAGAGCGTCGTTGACATGCAAAGCTCGAGAAGCCACTGGAATCTGTGTGTTGCAAAGGGAGGGCTTTTCCGTGCCACATTCCAGCAGTTTACCTGCTAATTCAAGCAGTCATGTTGGTTTCCCACAGACAAGACTGACTATATATGTTGCTGAAACTTCAATTTTAAGCCGAAAGATATGATCGAGTAATCAGTAATTTCAAAAGCTTGATATATTAGGAATCTTATCTCATAAGGTACTTGGTGTGAGATCACACTGATCAGATTCTACTGATCAAGAGAGAGAGAGAGAGAAAATTTCCATGGAGTCGAAAAGAAGCACGATCAAAGGGAATGAGAAGTTATAGAGAACAACATCTGATGCATGAAAGATACGAGGAATGACATGCAACAGATGGTCTACTTCTCAAGAGCCCATTGTAAAAAGCCTTCGATCGCCATCCAATAAGCTCGACTGGATTTTATGACGAAGGAGATCGAGCATCGTCACTTCGCTGTTTAACAGCCTGCAATCTAATCTCCAGGAGAATTAGAAGGGTAATGAATGGTAATCATGTAGCACGTTAAGGGGTGTCGTAGAAATGTAGGAGAAAAAGGAATATGAATAGGAGAAGATATTTCCTTACGTTACTAAGCAAAGAATCGAATTACATAGTAAAATTTGATCCACAATTTTCTATCATCTTAAATATTTCTTGAATAGAAAGAAAAAAAAGAGAGATGAAGTAAAGTCGAAGAAAAAACCAAAAGATTAGTATTTCAAATATTGTAGGCTATGACATTCCTGTGAGCAAGAAAACGCCAAGTATCTCAGATTGCACTGCTGCTAACATCGATCTCATGTTCCACTAAGATTTCTATGCTTGTCCACGAAGCCACCTCCAGGATTCCAGAGTCCCAGACTTAGAGAAGGTGTGTTCTTATGTTTCTTTGCGCAGATTTGCTACCTTTCTTCTTCGTAGGCAAACCAAAGACGATTTCGATGAGTAGCAATCATGAAGAGAATTTTTGGGGAACACCACCACCCACTCCTTTCCAGAATCGTTCATGATGTATCCACGACCATTTCCTTGCCGTGGAAAGAGCCACTACTCCTTTTGCATACAAAAGATGATGCTCCTGCGGCCAACGATGCAATGCAAAGAGAGTGACTGCAAACCGATCTCCATATAATTTTGAGGTCACCACTCCCATAAAATAATATAAAGGGAAACGAGAGAGGAGATGGGAAGATACATGAGAGAGTCGAACAGCTTGCAGAACAAAAATACAACAGCTATCCATAAATATTGCACCTTACAGCAAGGAGCTATTGATTAGTCCCTGCCAAGAAGGACCGACGCCGTTCCAGCAGTAATCTCTTTCTGAATCCATGGATCCATCCTGCCATAGAAGACTCATCTCTACGTGGCCATCCCCTCCGTCCATAGGTTTGCATGACCCTTGGCAAGTCGTCGTGCCTGCCGTTGCACCACTCAGCCCTGCACCGGTTGGCATCCCCCAGCTGCCACTGGTTCCAAGGCCGTAGTCATAGTCGATGTTGCTAAAGCTGCTCGGGCTTGAGATGTCGACCAAGCCATTTCTTAGGTAGTCGAGGAAGCCTTTCGTTGGGGTTGGAGCAGATGGCATTGGGTCAGAATCGTTTACGAGGAAAGAAAACGGGTCGGTGTTTGTGTTCCCTACGAGAAAGTTATGGCCATTCTCATGATCCGAACCAAACTGCTTCATCGGCAGTGGCTTTTGAAGACTCGTGAGGTCGTCACTCGGATCATGTGAAAGGGGTGAAGGGACGAGGAATGGGGCTGCCTTCTTGGATGAAGAGGAGGAGGATCTCTTGGTCTTCCTGCAGCCACCTCCCACTGGAACATTCCTGAGGGAGCCTCCCTGAGTCCAATACCTCCTGCATCCCTTGCAGAAGTATCTGGGCTGGGAGAGGCTGTAGTTGTTGTAGTAGCAGAACTTGGTGTTGGTGGAGGCGCACCTGGGGCACTGCAGGGCGTGCTCCGGATGAGGCCTTGCCTTCCTATCCTGCTGCTGCTGCTGCTGCTGGGTCTTGGGACATGCCACGACTTCCTCCAGCCCACGGCTGCACATTGCCTGTGGGTACACCGAAAAGGAATTACCAAACTCCAATCACCTACAAAATCTAAGAGATGCTTTGACGCTACGTTCAGAAAGCGGAAATCTCTCAACTACTGCTCTTAGAGGGCACACACACTTCGCTACCAAGTTGTAATACCATGTGAATATATTATTTCCTTTATTCCCTTCTCTGTACTTGTAGTTTTCTGCATCATGCATTTAGAAAACCGAGTCATGAATGATTCTGTCCTTGGAAACAAGCCCACATGCTGCGCTGCAACTTTATCTACAAGAGCTATAGTGGGATGTCAGAAATCAAAGATGCAAGTCTGAAACGCCTTCAAGTAGATGAATACAAGAAGGAAGAACTCTTATTGGTCAGACCAAAGGACTTGGGAAGGATAATGGAAGAAGAAGAAGAAGAAGAAGAAGAAGAAGAACATGGATCTCCCTGGTTGTATCTGTTCTCGCAAAAGAGAAGGAACAGCGCGTAGTCGCTTCCAGAAAAGAAAAAGAAATCCTCTTAAAATCTCTAGTTCATGTTGGAAGCATATGGAGGATGCATGAGCAAACCCTAGGAAACAAGCAAAAGTGCTTTCTCACGCAAACAGTCATCCGAATGGAAGAAGAGGGAAACACCAAGAATAGGTTTCTTTGGTATCTCGGCCTTCACACAGTGCAGAAACACAAGGAGCATAAAAATGAGAAATGGAGAATCTTTTTTCTTCGGGTGTCGGAATCTCCACCGGAATGTGTTCGCTTTGAAACATGCCAAGGCCGCAGCCCTATCAGGAAACTACACAGCCGAATGAATTTACGATACACAAAAGAACCCAATCAAACAATCAAAGTCCTTGATCTCTTTCTTAATACGTTAGAAAAGGGAGCACGACGCGATGATCAACACGAACTTTAGATTTAAGCCGAGAAAGATGAGAAGAATGGCTCATCATGGATCAACCGGAAATGAAAGAGGCTATATGATGAAGAGGACAAGATGAGGAAAGAAGCAAGAGAAACTAGTTCTTGGCTAGTGAATTCCCACTGTCGATCATACCTGATGGCGAGCATTAGAGATCTCCATGCACGCCGAAGGAAGAGAGAAGTCTCTCTCCAGGGGAAGCCAAGGTGACAGAGAGGAAAGCAGAATTGAGTTCTTCCCTCAGCCCATAAAAAATAAGGTAGAGAGAGAGAGAGAGAGAGAGAGGAAAGGGAGGAATGATTAGACTATGTACGAAAGAAATGCGTTCGTCTTTGATCCCGGAAAAATACTACTACTACTACTATTATGATTATTATTATTAAAGGAGGACGGAAAAGAATGGTGGAGTCGCGTCTTCAACCACAAACTGCTCGAGAGAAGGGTCCCACCCACCTTGGCGTGAAGCACAAAACATCACTCCTCGGTGGACCGGGCCCCACCGCCCTTCCAAAGCTTTCATGGCGTGCGAATGTGATGTATGTATGAATTGCTTCACGCGCTTCCCATTAAGATTCCAAGTGAGGCTCGGTTTCATGCCGTGGCTGTCTTTAGTCTAAAACTAGCGGACGTCACGGGATCGGCCAAATGGCGACTGGCCAACGTGGAGCTCACGGCGATGAGCCACATCAGCCGGCCGCCGGGTATTATGTCAGGTCGGACTGAGGACGAGACGGATTGATGCAGACGTTGATCGTTGAATGGTTGACCAAATCAATCAGTCTTCGATCGGACTGAGGACGACGCAATATGGAACGAATCGAACCGTTGGATTGGAAGACGCGCATCGTATGGGTGCGGGCAAGCTTGGTGGACTCCTTCACAGAGACGAACGTGATGCTGCCGAACCATTTTATGTCCCCCCCGCCCCTCTCTCTCTCTCTCTCTCTCTCTCTACGTTAGCTACGGAGGAGGACGGACGGACAGACGGAAGGAACGAAGGAATAAGGCGGACGGAGGGGAAGGTGGGTGGGACCCCCGATGTGGCAGCCACACGTTATGGTCGGTGGTGCGGGACCCGACGGCAGGGAGAACCGATGCCCGACAGAAGGCCGGGATGCATGACAGCCGTCAAAAGTTGGTTCCGAGTCACGGCCAAAAAAAGACGGGAGCGACGGTCGACATGACCCCTTATATTTCTTTATTTATGTCAACCATCATCTGAATTGATTTGATTTGATCAAATCAATTCTTAAAATTAAAAAGGACATCAGCAATTGACATTAAAAAAAGAAAACTGGATGATCTATCCGCTTCCGATCGTGGAATTGATTGAAGGAATATAAGCATCTGATTTATCAAATATTTGAAATGAACTATAAAAATACTAATATATAATTAATATATCAAACCCGTTATTTTTTCACCTCAAGTGATTTTACTAGACTCATTTAAGATTTTAGGACTTCAATAAAATCATACTCACATGATTTTATGTTTTTTTCTTTCCCTTTTTAGCTAAAGCATGAGAAAAATCATTCCTTTCACATGCTAAATTAATTTCTCTTTAAACATAAGAAAACCATAAAATTAAAGATAAAACTTTCCTAACTCGCATGCAAATAGAGATATAACGTTGGCAAGTTATATCGCCACCCGTTTCACTTATCAATTTGAGAATTTGAAACCAACTTCTACAAGTGTAAAGTATGCTTCATTACTTACCCTTTAAAAAAATCCACATAAGTTCGTGAACCTTTGAATCGATCAAACTCGGAGCTTTTTGCACCTTCGCCGATATCCACATTATCGTATAGCATTTAAAGGAGGTCGAGCAATGTAGTCACGTAATGATGTGTTTCAATTAGATCACCTCATATAACACAAGCTGGACGGTGCTGCAGCTTATTGATTCGAAGCGTTGGCCCTAATCAGGAGAAACAGACAATAGTTTTTCATCACATCAGTTCGGCATGGAGCAAATAGTAATGTAGAATGAGGTCTAATGCTGGTAAGATTGTAATCACGTTTTGTAAAAATTATCAATAAAAATCTATGCTGAAATTGAAGCACACTGCATTAGCATGTTATCAGGGATGATATCTATGCTGAAATTAAGATTTTAAGTTTTGGCATGATGTTGCATACCTGGTTCTGCAGCTCGAGTAAAATGAGATAAATTACGCCTTATTGTAACGATCAATCCATTAGGTTAGATGTAGCTGAGCAAAACAGTAATGTCTCTTGATGTGTCCATGACAACTCCGTTTGTAAGAATTTTGCAATCTTCTTAGTGATGCCACCGTCTTACGGAATCGAAATTTTGGAATCAGTGTGCTTATTGGTCTTAGGAATGTTGACCTATCTTGTATCCATCTGCTCCCATCCTTTTGCTTAATTCACTCTGTGAGCCAGCAGCTTAATGAAAGGTCATACTATTTTTGGTAAGAACATGAAAGACACAGCAACATAAAGCGGAGGCACATAATATGCTTTATTTAGAGTCAGAAATCTCAGGAAAGAACACAAGGATAAAGAGAACCAATCAATCACTAATGGGTTTTTGAGCCTAAGTTTGGCATGTCAATAGCCAAGGGCAAATTGTAAGTCACTTGCAATATTCTTACCATTATATCATACCAGCAGAACAATGGCAATGACGACGAGGTATGATTCCTGACGAGTGAGGTCAACGACATGAACACTTCTCCACCATTGAGCTCCATAAGAAACTATTGTTCGTTAACTAATTAATTAAAAGATTAACAAGTCTTTTTTTATTGTTTCCAACAAAATCTTCTTTGCTTTTCCTTTCTTTTCAGACAAATGTCGATCAACTGGCCCAATCTTTTTGGTGCATTTGGCAATTTGAGGAGTCAACCTTGAACAGCTATCTTTCAATTTATTTTCATTCAATACATCCCCTAATTATTCATGATAACTAACATTTCTTGTTCTACCTTCTACGGCTGTATCATTCATCTATCTCAAAATCTACTTCAAAACCTTGAACAGCTATCTTTCAATTTATTTTCATTCGATACATCCCCTAATTATTCATGATAACTAACATTTCTTGTTCTACCTTCTACGGCTGCATCATTCATCTATCTCAAAATCAATTTAATAGTACAAATTTTATAAGTTATTATGCTTTTTAATAACCCAGCCCACAAAGCAAAGAAATTCTTACAACTATTTAATGGTGTTTTTAACGTAAGAGGCACTCAGTGGTCGCACAATAGTTTCAAAATCTTTCTCCATTGTAATTATCCTGTTTCAATTTCTTGTCATGTAGTTTGCTAGGGTAGAATATGATTTTGAATAAAATAAGTTCTAAAAAATGATATAGGAATTAGAAAAGCTTAATATAACCATCAAGCATCTATTAAATGGCAACTCAAATTCTCTAAAGATTCTTCTATATACAAGTAAAAAATACACTTGCTACTCAAACCAATGCACAAGTAGCATCAGCAAGGATATGAAAGGTAAACATTTTGTTCATATGATGCAAATCAAGAGACTCAGTATACACAAAACAAGATAAGTGATTACCAGGAAAAGGTGCATACCTGAATTTGTCTAGTGATATGCCCTATACCCTGTTTTCCATTGAACAATAGCAGTCAGAAGAAGAATAATCATAATTGCTTCTCAAAATTCTGAAAATAGAAAGTACACACACCTGAAACCGCTTCACTACCCATGACAACTCCTTCCAAGTTTTCAGGTGAAACTCTTTAAATGAAGTTGGAGCTTGAATTGTCTCAACGTGCTGCACAAGCCTCAGGCTACCTTTAAACGATATCAGACCAAGCCAGGAAGAAAACATGTATGTTTTGCTCAACAAACATATGAACAACATCTCAACAAATGTATGGCCGGCTACATGGATACTCTCCCACTATTAGGGGTGTGCTTACCATCATTCATACATTTGTAATTTTAGATAGATAAAAAACATAAACATTCATGCTATTTCATTTTCGGGAAGTCTGCTTATTGTCACCATATTATAATTGTTCTTAGGATATAGAAGAGATGTTTGGTAAACAGAAAATAAGAAAAGGAAGCTGATGGAGAAGAAGAAGGTGAAGTGGAGGAGACTGAAGAAAGAGCAGAGACATGAGAAGGGGAGGCAGAGACAAAGAAGAAGAGAGGAGGAGGAGGAGGTGGAGGAGGAGAAGCGGCAGCAGATTAACACGAGGAGGAATAAAAGGAAAAAAAATCAAATAAAAATGAGGAGCCAAGTGAAAGAAGAGAAAAGAAGAGGGAAAAAAGAAGGAAAAAAAAAAGGTCAGATAGCAGAAAAGGGAAAGATAACAAGAAAAGAAAAACACAAAATTGAAGAAAATTTTATTTATATACACGATCATATTTTTATATATTTCTAATTGAACCAACCGCTGCAACTGATTGATCCACCAGCCAACCAATCACCCATTTACTGAGGGTTGGCTGGGCCGATGACCAGTTGAGTCCTGATAACTATGATTAAAGTGACTCAATCCTTAAGTGGATTTGCAGAACAAGAAACTATCTTCTGAAGAAAATAACAACATAAAGCACCACTAAAAGATGGAATTAGGAGATGACAAAATATTCTATAGATTCAATCCCAATTAGGTAGAAATGTGCTTCTAACCAATGTTGTCATTTTTCAATTTTTTGGACCTAATATCAATGTGAAGAACGCCAAGAAGAACAAGATCATTAAAAACATAGACTAAAGAAACTACAGAATGGGGAAAAAAGTACTAGTGCCGAGATATGTGGCTGCACAGGATCAACTTAAAAGATGCAAATAAAGTTCTTCTAGTGCCTAGATTCTCGCCTTCTCAAAATGATATGTTCTGTATAACTCTTAACAATAAACTACCTAGATACTCATTCGAAATTCAATAACAATGATAATCAAAGCTACACAATTACTAATGAAGAAAGAGGTGGTACAGAAATTAAACTGCTGAAAATATTGAAAACTGTCTTAACTTGTAATGAAGGCCTCCTGCCAAAGCTCATGGTCGGACCATGATGGTGCAGATTCCTCCACAAGGATGCCCAGACTAGAGCAAATCCTGCATATAAACACACACACACGCGCGCGCACATAAATCATCAGAAAATAGCATTACAGTAAACTTAATTAGTTTATCATCTTGATAGCCATTGTAAGGTTCAAATGTCTAAGGGAACTCAGTAAACCAATAGATCATGGTGTAATGAAACAGCTTCCAATTTCTGAAAAGGAAAAATATCAGGAAGCACCCGAATACAACTTCAATAAAGTAGGAATAAACCTAAACTTTCTTCATAATTCAAGGTAAAATCATGAGAAAAAATTACAGGAAAGACCAAAAAGTACAAATCAGTTTAAATTCACGTTCTAGGACTGATGACAGACAACTGTTCACAATATATGCTACTTAAAATTCCAATGTTAGATAATTTTTTAAGTAGCCTGATTAATTATTCTAATAATCATCATGCTCCTCAGAACATAAAATCAGATTTATATACTTAAATACTAAAACTAATATGAGAGTATATGTTACCACTTAAAATGTCGGATACACTTCCATGTAAAAGTAATTATTACTCATAACCAGTTCACGGACTGAAGTGCATCAGTAACATAAGGTGCCAAATATAGCAGGCATATAAATGAGCTACTTGATGCAAGAGTGAGAGAACCATGCATATTGCATCAAAAGCACCATGCCACATTATCCTTTACGAGAGAACCATGAGTGATAGAAATTCTAGCTCCAGCTCAGATATTTGTGGATGTTAAAGCATGCCTTTTCATGCAAGCCATGGGTTCAACCACCCAACATTTCCTTGAATTAAAGTACACAACATGGTGGGAAGACGCACATAGGTAGGATAAGAGTAATAGCTATCAGGTGAGAAATCTGCAATTGTGATTGACAGCAATGTCCAATAACACAGACTGATGGTTTTCAATGTTCATCTTGATACACCAAGAGTGCAAATTATCAATCAGCTAACTTCCAAGACCACACTGCCTTTTCACATCCTAGCTGCCGAATAGCTACTAACCTCATTAGATATAACTACGACCATTAAACTCCTCTGAAATCAACTAGATTTCATGATGGTGTATCTGACCTTTTTCTTTTGACATCTCTTACTTTAGAAAATCATTTGTTCCATCGGTTACCTTTCTGGGTTTTTGATGTAATGACAATCATTGTTTCAAAGCATTAAAGATTGTCTCTTAATTTTCAAATTTATAATTATAGATCCAGAAACCATAAATATATCTGTCATATTTGTGTATTTTCACTATACAAATATAACGATTATATGACAAAATAGCTGTTCAAGGGACTAGAATTTACTCGATCACTAGTTGGCGTATAACTCCTGGAAGAACACCATCGCTTATAGGTGCTGTTTGCACTACGAATGTACATGATGATTCTGAATCTGACGGAGGCAGATCAGTGATACCATTTACCACCTGGCAAGGAGGCACAATGCTCTCAGAAAGCTAAAGAGCCTTGCAAGTCACCAGAAAAGTTCTCACGATCAATAGAACAATTCCAATCAAAGTGATCAAGCATGACCAGCAGATAAGCAGTTAAGAGCAAGATAGCTCAGCAGCATTCACCTTTCTACAGACAACAAAAAAGTTGGTCACGCTGCCTTCCAGAATCCTATCACCGTCGTTCGTCAATAACAGCTCCGTGGCCGAAGGAGGCCTCACCTTCTCCATACCCTGCCTAACCCTAGCATCGAAGAGAATAACAAACCACTATTAATAAAGGGAGGTAAGTAAAGGGAAATCTTAAACCCTAGTGGATGGATAGCACATGAACGGATGGAGAAAACATCCACGGGCTCACCGCACCCAATCGGAGTACTTGGCCTCCGCCGGCTCCCTCCCGCGGCCAGTGACCGCTAAATGGGCTCCGACGGCGCCGAACGGCGGCGGAACGAAAAATCCAAGATGGAGGAGCACATCGAGGCAGTCAGTCTCGCGGCGGCCGCGGACCAAGGCCGTGATGGCCAGCTCGTCATCGGACCCGGCGCGGTCGCGCTCCCGAAGAGCTAAGCGGAGTCCGAACAGGAGCGATTCGTGGACCAGATTCTCGATAGAGTCGATGAGCGCGGTAGAGTCGCCGCCGGCGGCTGCGGCCGATCCGAGGGGGAGGAGGAAGAGACTTGGGTGGGACCGGGCAAGGATGCGGGCCGAGTGGGCGAGGCGGCGGAGGTGACGATCCCAGAAGAGGACGAGCGAGGCGCCGCCGTGGGTGCGCGTCGAGGTGTAAGCGCCTGAGAGAGGGCGAGCGTAAGGGAAAACGTCGGCGTCAGCTGTTATCATAGGGAATAAAGGGAAGCAACGGGTGAGGGTACCGGGGCTGGACTGGAGGAACGTCGCGACAGGGGGAACGTCGCCGGTGAAGAGGACGCCGTTCACCACCAAGAAGGTGGCACCACCACCACTCGACGCCATTTCCCTATTTTGTGAAGCGACAAATAGAATTAAAAGAAAAGCAAAAGTGAGAGTCTTATAGAATTCGGGAAAAAAAAATCAGATTACTATTTATAATCTTATTTTTTTTAAATATTTTTAAAATATTATCCATAAATAAATATAAATATCATCTATTTCATCTTCTTTTTCTTTTATTCCTCTCTTTCGTCGTCATTATCGTTATAAGAGGAGAACAATATCAATGAAATAATGAGTGATATAAAATAATATCGAATAACATCGAAGTATAGGCTAATGATAAAGAATTTAGATTAAAAGAGCATAGATTGGATGACAACGATCAACAATCGAAAGCATAAGTTGAGAGAGTCAAAATACACGACGATCATACGAGTTATGCATAAAGAAAAAAAAGATAAAATAAACAATAATAGGACTATAAATAGTAAGATATTTTTATTAAACTTTTTAAAAATTTAAATAATAAAAAATTATCAATAGTAAAAAAGAGACTCTAAATATTAAGCTTAAAAAATCTCATATATATTTTTTTATTTTTGAGATTAAACCTTCCTTTTTTTAGATTAAAAAAATCAATAATTGACCAAAATCCATTTTTCAACCAAACTAGTTGTATCAAACTGATTATAATTTTTTTGATCAAATTATTATCATTCTATCCATAACTATTGTAGCTGAACTTTAATTAGTTCAAGTCTTCACCAACCTTAATTATCAAGTTTTGAAATTTTATAAATGATTTGTAGAAAAAGTCTAATCGGTATTGGATGGAAAATTTCAAAATAAATATGATATATCTTTTTTCATTTACTTTTAAGTTTTATAATTGATCATAAATTAAACTGAATTGATTTGATTGGAAAAGCATGCAATTCGATCGGGTTCTTAATGTCATTTTGAGAAGTAGGAGTTCTAACATTAAAAAAAAAAATTAGGACTTGGTTTGAACAAAATAAAAATTAATTTTTTTCTAAAAATTCACCCAAATAAGAAAGCACAAACATATATGTTGGATTAATGAAAGTAATAATAAATATGTTAGTTTCTAAGATTTATCGATTTTTTGCAATGTCTTTGGCTTTCACATAAAAAATATTTCATCTCATGCTCCGATATCGTATATTTTTGTTGGATATACGAGTATGCTATATACTATACGATATAAGAAACGTAGTAATAATGATATTATCCAATACGATTATTGGCATGTCAATTTGGTTGAATTCAAATCATCGATCAAAATATTTAAATTAATTTTTTTAATAATATATCTATTATATTTTTATAAGTTATTTTTTTATTTTCGATATGAGATTAACCAAAATGTTACTCGAAAGACAATGGCCATAAAAAATAGGTAGGTGATGGTGTCGGTGAGGAAGACAAGACTATGATCATAGAGAGAGAGAGAGAGAGAGAGAGAGAGAGAGAGAGAGAGAAAAGAAAAGATGAGAAGGGAGGATGATTACATGGTGGTTGGCTACACCTTTCATCATAACTCTTTTCTGCGCTGTCGAGGGGGTATACATGAATATAAAATATTATCTGATAGAATAAAAGAAGCTTATAAAGATTGTGCATAGTACAATTATCGACCTAATAAATGATGTTTGAAGATTAAAAAGTGCAGTGTGATGTGCTCACTGCACTTTTTTCTGAGGCTTTGGACGATCTGTTGCCAAGCAGCTTTTGGGCTCTATCTATCTTCCATTGGTTAGACACTGTATCCGATGTGACTCACTTGGATAAATCTTTCTTATACATCTGAGTATTACCTCTAAAATTAGTATGACAATGTAATCTCTCAGGATAGTAAATATTAGTTATATACTCTTTAAAATTATGAAATTAGATCGGAGGATGATTAATCGATGTTCCGAGCCGACTCATTTTTCAAATGTTATTATATTTAAAAACTAATTTTTTGAGTTTTCGACGTAAATGATGTGTTCGATACATTGACTCCTAAATTAGTGAGTGGGCTAAGATATAAAATAAAAGAGGTTTTGGATCTCACTTTATAGTGGTCCTCTTTGGGTGAATAAACAAAGGTAGCAAATTACCACCAAGAAGATCTAAACATATTTAATGTGATCGACAAGGACTTTAACCAGCAGCAATCGATTCAGATTCTTCTAATCAATGCTTATAAACTCCTGTTCACTGGAAAGCCTCTCATAACCTACTGAATAGTAGGCTTCTCTGGATTTAGAAGTTCACTATTGTTTAGTGAGTTTAGAATGGATACAATTTTTTTTTTTTAGATATAGTAACTCATAATGTAATGAGAGAATATTTAATTTGTATAGAAGCTGACATGATATGAGAAAATATTAGAACAGTTGACAAAAAATAATAATATCAATTATTGAAATCAACTGTATAAGGCAACTGCTGATAGTGAAGCAAGTCAACTACCAGTGTCTAAGAAAGAATAGGATAATGTATATGATTAAACTGAGTGTGCAGTGTTAACATCTAAGGAGCAGATTTGTTGGTGGTTGTCTTAGTGACTGTGTTCTTGGAGGATATACTAGTATTTGTTGTGGACTGAAAGAAAAATACACTTCTACATACTGCCACTCCATCATTCTGATTGATTGATTGATTATGTGTATGCATATGGGCATGTCTTGTCTTCATCCCCAAACTCCACAATCTGCTTCAGAAGGGACCCCTCTGAGCTTTCACTGTTGCAACCTTTCAGCTCAGGCACATACATCTCTTGGACATGGAATTGTATTCTTGGAGGATATACTAGTATTTGTTCTGGACTGAAAGAAAAATACATTTCTACATACTGCCACTCCATCATTCTGATTGATTGATTGATTGATTCTGTGTATGCATATGGGCATGTCTTGTCTCATCCCAAACTCCACGATCTGCTTCAGAAGGGACCCCTCTGAGCTTTCACTGTTGCAACCTTTCAGCTCAGATACATCTCTTGAACATGGAATGGAATGGTGTACATACTAAAGCTTTTATTCTTTTTATTTCTTTCTCTCCTCTTAACTTTATTCCATCACAAATATTTCATAAAATTTGAAGATAGCTTTCTGTTCTGTATACAAATTTATTTATATTTTAGATTTAGGCTAATGGTCATAATTATGTTGTTTATCTTTATTTAAAATTTTAAATAACTAAAATTACAAGGGAAATTTTTTCTAAAAATCTCATCTATTTAGATTTTTTTCTGAAAAACATCTCATATTTTCAAAAATTCACATTATAGCACCTTTTTTTTCCCTAATATCTATAATATCTTTTTTTCCTTCTTTTTCTTATGAATTGGTAACACCATGTCATAGTTTTTTCAGTAATACTAGAAAAAAAAACTATAATTCAGTTTCAAAATATTATAACATAATATTTTTATATAAATTTTATAAAAAAATATTATGTTTAAAATATTTTTTTAATTATATTGTGGTTTGATAAAGTTGATTTTGGGCTGTTTAGCTAAAGGTTATCGGGATTTAACTTGGATTTATCAAGTTGGACATTTGATCCATGCAAAACTAAGTTGAGGGCAATCCCGATAACGTCGTATCGACACTCAAATCAGCATTTAAGTTAAGCAAGTCCAACTTTATTTTTTATTTTTTTATATTGGATATACCTATGTGATTCTTTTTATAGCGGATGCTTGAGAAAATGTATTACATAGTTAGTTTACGTTATAACAGTTTGATGATCTTAGGTTACTATAATCGCTTATTAGATCGATTGAAATTACCATTAATCGAAGCTACCACCAATAAACTTGGACATATAACGACGGAGTCTTTATTAGGCTGATAGTAAGAACGATATTGAGTATTGATGCGTTAGTCGCATAAGGTGCCAATAGGACAATCATGTTATTGTTGTTTCGACATAATATTTTCAATAATAATAGAAAAATACCCTAACATAATAAAAGAACACTATAACATAATATTTTTTATTTTTATTAATATAAAAACTAAAATATAATAAAAATATTATAAATTGGTTCATTCCACGGACCCATCGATAGAAAAAAAAAAAAGAGTGAAAGAAAGGGAAAAAGAATAATTGACAGAGGATCTTTTAAGTATTAAATAAAAAAAATATTAATTAAATTTTTTGAAGAAGAAGAACATTTTTCGAAAAAAATATAAAGAGAAATATTTTTTCGAAAATTCGGTCCAAAATACGGTCGCTCGCAGCTCGCCGTCGGCACGTGACTCGGGGCGGACAAAAGGGAAAAAGGACGAACGGAGAAACCGGGAGACCGGCCGTCACCCGTCGGCCGTACGTTCGACGCAACCTCCCACCTCCCTAATAATACTATTTTTGAGCACTCCTCCCCTCAGTGTGATAATTGTTTATATAGGAATCATAAAGACACTGAGAATGGTAATAACATATGTGCCACTTTGGTTATATCTAACGTCCTCGTCCTCTTCTCCCTCTTCCTCTTCTGTTGTCTTCTCCCGAATGGATCGGATCGCCTCCGGCGGCGATCTCTTCCGCCTTTCCGCCGCCTTCTGATTTTGCTTGATTTTCTGCACTTTGTCGGCGAGAGTCAGGTTCCGTGGACTACTCGATCGATCGCGCAGAAAGAGATCATGGAGTTTGATCTCAATGCGGTCTCTCCCGGCGAGTCCTCTGCCGAGGCGTCGAACTCCTCTGAAGCATCGCGCAACGCTGCCGCCGCCGCCGCCTTCCGGTTCGACATCGTCCGGCGCCGCCCCGCTGATGACGACGATGAAGACGTGAAGGAGGGTAGTGTCTCGCCGCAGCCGGGCATCTCCACACTGCAGCTGTTCCCTCGGGCCGCGGATGTAACGGCGGTGCAGCATCGTGTAGCCACTGCCTCTTCCTCCTCCTTGCGCTGGACCAATATCGGCTTCGGGAAGGGGACGGTGGACGGCGCGGCTGAGGCTGAGGCGGAGGCCAAGTTGTTGTTGCATCGGCAGCAGCAGCAGCCGGTGAGGAAGAGCAGGAGAGGACCGAGGTCTCGGAGTTCACAGTATCGCGGAGTCACTTTCTACAGGAGAACCGGGAGATGGGAGTCCCACATTTGGTTAGCAGATTCTTCTCCTCCTCGTTCTTTTTAATGTGTTCCGTTTTGAGAGGATGAGCTTTTTCTCCCTCTAATTTTGAGCAGGGATTGCGGAAAGCAAATCTACTTGGGTAAGATTTCTACTTCATTTGCTTACTATGACCTAAGATCACTAATTATATTTGTTTTGGGGTTTAACTGTTGTGTTTCTGTTTGGCTGGAATCTTTAGGAGGCTTTGATACTGCTCATACTGCTGCAAGGTTTGATTCCTTTTCCCCTCCTCTTAATGTGATTGGATGGTCAAGTATAATGTTACAGTTGTTCATTGCTTGGGAAAAAAAAACTTGTATCCGATAGATAAATTGCATTACAGAGCATATGATCGTGCTGCAATCAAGTTCAGGGGACTTGATGCCGACATCAATTTCAATCTTAGTGATTACGAGGAGGATTTAAAACAGGTAATCATGGAAATAGATATATGTAGGTGCTGAAGCTATGTGATTGATATGCAGGACTAAAGGTATGTATGGTTATGTGATTGAATCACAGATGAAGAATCTAACCAAGGAAGAATTTGTGCATATACTTCGTCGTCATAGCACCGGATTTGCAAGGGGAAGCTCCAAGTTCAGAGGGGTGACCCTGCACAAGTGTGGTCGTTGGGAGGCTCGCATGGGGCAGTTCCTTGGCAAAAAGTATGATGTCTAATATTTCCTCATGTTTTTAATCATTCTTGAGTTTGTGTGATGTTTCTTATTAATTAGTACCGCCGAGGCGCCTCAGCAAATCCTTAAATTTAACATCATTGTTTCCTCTGGTTTGATGAATGTCCCAAGTTATATGGCCGTGCAATTACAATTAAAAATCACATGGATGGTTCTTAGTGTGGAAAAGTAATGAGAAAATGTGAGACATACTAGATTTTTTCCAAAGGAAATTCTTTGAGATGATTAAAATATTTGAATAAAAGACCAAAGGTTAGCAGCTGCAAAAAGACAAACCAGACCTTCATGTTTCTTGAAGAACTCCATATTTTTATTTTTAACTTAATTTTCCGTGCAGGTACATATATCTTGGTTTATTTGATAGCGAAGTAGAGGCTGCAAGGTCTGATTTTATTCAGTACACATAATGGGTGTTTGATATGAATCTTTAACATAAAAATTTATAAACTAAAGTAATGTTCTTCATTCTTCTTCCCCCTTTGCTTTTGGACTTCAGGGCATATGACAAGGCTGCTATCAAGTGTAATGGAAGGGAAGCTGTAACCAATTTTGAGCCAAGCCTTTATGAAGGCGAGACACTTACTGAGCCTGAAGGTATCATTAGAATATGTTCATTGTGCATGCTGGTCTACCTTAAATAATGTTCTCCCCAGATTGTGTTGTTTCTTGGTAAACTTTACTTGGAAACTAATCTTCCGTCTGTGATAGTTGCCTCTGAGGATGTTGATTTAAACTTGAGGATTTCTCAACCTGACCTCCATAATCTAAAGAAGGATGGTAATTCAAGTGGTACCAATTTCTGTCGTGGCTCATTTGAGGCCATGCAAATGGGAAACACTCAGGTAGATGATGATCCTCTGTCTATGTTTCTTTATAATGTTTGGTTTTGTTGGAATATTTAAGCATATGAAGCTGTTCTTTGTGGAGCCAATTCCTAAAATATTTTCTCCCAATTCCAAGCCTCTTCTAACTGATTTTAATTCCTCTTCACTTCTATTGAACTACCAATGTAGCTGCTGTAATTATTTCATTATGATCATGCCTTTAAGAAGTCACACCTTAAATAAAAAATCATAATGTAAACTGTTAAAATCAAAGTATTCATGACCACTGACAAATGAATAATATGTTAGAAGATAATTGTGATGGAGATAAATGGTGAAGTACTTATTCGTGAAAGCCTTTAAGATTGCCAACCACATGTTTTTTTGGGAATTTTCCAAGTGCATTACCTAGAAAGCAATATTACATTTACATAAACCCTTCTTTTGTATAACATATGCTAAGTAATGAAGTTACTGTTTTGCATTTCATTTTATGTTTTCAGGAATCACATTATGATGTACTAGATATATTATTGTCCATTTTTTATTTTGTGCTTGGGTTTGGTGACAATGGTAGGCCCAATGTAAGATGCTCCTGCCAATGCAGCATATATACTAAATAATTTTCCATGCTGGAATGATGATATGATGGATCCCGCAATGCATAATTCTTTATATGTTTAAATGTATACAAACCATTATTAATTGTCTTTCTCTTTCGGTTGTTGTTACAGGCTGACAGCCATTATCATCTGGGCTATGATCCTCACTTGGCGACGACACCTTGCCATCCTCATTGGTGGGCTTCTTCCTATCCAGGCTTCTTTCTCAGCATTGCGGTAAAATCCTACTATTTATTATACTTCTAATTTTTGAAATTCTTCCTAGTAGCAACTGGTGTCCATATGGTTACTGTTTGTTTCTTTTTTCCTTATGATAATTTAGTTTTAGTATACAATCTATCATCTTCCTGTCCAACAGTGATTCTGTTCCATAATTGGTGCACAACACTATCATTGATCCTTGATGCTAAACAACTTTTTATAGTTCAGTCTTTTGGTCAGCTGCTTCTCTTTGTATAATGGCAGTCTTGATGATCGTTGCTTAAACAATAAAAATAATGAGAACAAATAGGGCCTTGACATATTTTTGCATGAGAGACCTACCTGTTTTTATGGTGGCTGGCTGTACGGTGCGATTTAGCATTGTAGAGTCTTTGTATTATTAGTTTGTTGGTGTCTGTTCCACCGTCGAGGCACACCATGCAGTCTTTGTAGTATTAGTTGATCGGTCTATCTAACTGTCATCTTTTCTTATAAACCCTTCACACAATTCAACTCTTTGCGGTAGAAGAATTGTAGTTGATTATTCTAACTGGTACTTTCTGATAGTCGGCGTGTTGAGGTTAACAAACACAGGTGGAAGTGCTAATCCTCTGCTTTTTGCTCACTCATCAAATTATTTACAGAATTCCTTTTTACCTGTTTCCTGATTACTTAACCATGGGTTAATAAGGTGATTGGAGTGTTTAGGCAGCTGGGACCCGACAGATGGTCCGCAGCCACCTATCCAATCATCGGTCTCTACCCATGGGAATTCTATATCTTTACTGAATCTTCTATGTCGACATTCGCTAAATGGATGTCATCAAATTAATGTAGGAGAAAGGGAACCAGCAGAGGCCTGAGATGGGTTCCCAAGTCCTCCCCAACTGGGCATGGCAAATGCATGATCCTACACCACTGCCATCAGCCTCTTCTGCAGCATCATCAGGATTCTCTACTGCGACCATGATGGCCACAGTTCCACCACCACGGGCAGCTCCGCCGCCTTCAAACACCCATCACTACCATTTCCCTCCATCAGCAAGCACTAACTATGACTTTGCAAATTGATTATACGTTCGTCTCCAGCGATTGCTGCTGCTGCATATTGTTCTAAAAGATTGCCGATACTCAAATTGGTGCAAGCCAGCACCAACCAAATGCATGGCACTTGCGTTTTTGGTATTGTAGTGTTAAGAAGCGAACAATCTTTGCCGTAGTTCCAGACTACGGCTTTTGTGAGAACTTTTGCCGTGAAAAGCTTCCATGTTAAATGCTGAGCACATTTCCTTTCGTCTTCTGATGGCAGCAGTATCTACGAGGAAAGCCTATTCCCTCCATCAACTGTACCAGCTCTTGCTGTGGCTTCTAAAAAGTTGTACTCTTCTTTTGGTGTAAGAGGCTGATCTCCTGCCCACTGTCAAACCTACTTTTCCTTGCTTTGGGTAAATGTGGTGGATTCCTTTACCTAGCATAGCAGATTGGATTAGCATTTGTACTCGCTTTTGGGGGTTAATTACATATTAACCACCCCTCACCTGTTAAGCATCTCAGTTTATAAAATTTTTAAAAAATATATTAATATTTTCATAATTATGAAAGTAAAATATTAAATTTTATTTATCTTAAATTATCGGTTTTGCTAATGGTAAAATAATTATTTCAGATATTAATTAAAATGTAAAAGAAATGGGTCATCTAGAGATCAAGATGTTAAAGAGATCTATCTATCTAGAAGGTGTAATATGTAATTAACTTTGTAGCAAAGGTAAAGGAGCTTTGTGCATCAGTTAATTTCTGCAAGGAAACAGGACAATGCAATATACTAGAGAAGATAAGAGTCTGTTCAACTAAATCTTCGAATGTGAACAGAATTAAATTTAGTAGAGAAAATATTGAGATCTAAAGGTCAATTGAAAAGTCGAAGAAAGGCTTTAGGCAAGAAAGCCGAGTGTTCCATTAAACAACTTCAATTTCAACCTCAGTGTTTCATCCTACCAGTGAGTATCATGACACAATAATTGAATCCTTTTTCTGCCTTTACTATCATTGTATACACTATAAAAGAACCGATCAGACAATTTTCTTACTCTTGGTAACTAAGTTCAATTTAATACCTACGAAAAATGGAAACCGAACCTTGCAGATTGGAAGCGCAAAATAACTGTCTAGAAAAGCAGCCGACTGAGCTCCTCCAGTTCTCTCTCTTTTAAGTAATCCTACCTATTCTGGAATCAAGCATATAAAACTCCTTTTAAGTTGAGTCAAATATAGCAAATCAGAAAGTAAAATTAAACAGAGCTGCTTACTTATTTCACCTGATCTAATTAACACAACCACAGCCCAAATATAATTTGAATGAAATGAACTCAAATTGTCTAACTGGGTACTCTTCTTTAGCGGTCAAAGATGAAACTTGATCCCATCATGGATTGTGTCACTATGAGAAAACAAGTGTTAGAACTTCTACGAAGAACCCTTTAAGCAGAAAAGCAGTTGATGCTGTAATCATTGGAGATAATACAAGGTGCAGATCGTATGCGCTTGGCAACCAAATAAATGGAAATTCCCAGCTCATATCGTGCTAGTCATAGTATATTGTAAGCTTACCTGTACAGGATAAGGGAAGCACATTATGCTGGATGTCAAATGGCAGAAAGTCCCCACCCCATGTAGTGCAAGTCATAATTTTAGGTCCGCTTGATCTGAACACAATGAAGGGTGCTCATCATGCTGGGATGTCAAATGACCTGACTCCCCAGCTCATATTTCAGTCATAATTTAAGATCAGCTGTACTCACACAACATGAAGGAAGCACATTATGCTGTATGTCAATTGCCAAAAGTCACCAACTGCATATCGATCATAATTTAATGTCAGCTGTACCTACACAGGATGAGAAGAGCTCATTAGAGGGATCTCAAATGTCAGAATCTTGCTAAACCAGAATCACCTGTTTTTTGGCATTTAAAAAGTTGGATTTAAAAGATAAAACAATTTTTTTTATATTCAACAAGCTTGAAAAATAAATAAATAAACTTTTTTCAATCCCATGAGCAAAATTCTTATAATATCCAATTTCTGAACAATTAACTTATTTAATGTAACACTACTACTAGTAAGCAAATCGAAAGATCTAGTAGATTCTTATCAGTTAATCATCTTTTGGCCAATTATATAAACACTGAGAAATTACTCAAAGGCCTGATATTAGCATCACTGAGAGTTAACAAATTGATGGGTAATCTACATAAAACTTGTGACTGTTACTGTATCATGCCCACATAAAAGCATTGCCATGCAAAATTATAACCAAATTCATATCTTCAATCAAATAAATAGTAGCTACATCCAGACCTGCAGTTTTCCATAAAGTAAAGTTGTCCGTTATACAGTGTTTTGAATACACAAGGCTGCAAATAAGGTGTTGGGAGGTTGGATCACTGGATCACCCTAAGATTGTCAATTGGATGCACACAAGCATACATACAGTATACAAACACATATATGTCAAGAAAAAGAAAGAGAGAGCAGCAGCTATTCCAATATTATCATGTACACCATTCATCATTCAGGTTCTCTCTGTATCACACACTTAAATACCATTGCTTCGGGAACAACCAAAGTTATACTGGAAATTAGTATCATAAGGAAAACCAAACAGTACTTTACTAGAAAATGAAATCACATAACGCTCGCTCAGCTTTTTCCTCGGACAACATGTTAGTAAATTTTCTTACATATTTTCTGTCAGAACTTTGCCACAAATCTAGCAGTGAAGTAAAAAACATAGGAATTGAGACAGTATATTTTCTCACATGTTCACTGTCAGATGAAACTTTTACTAGAAATCCAATAGTGCAGAAGTAAAAACCTAGAAATTGAGACAGATCATCTTTTGAATGAAGACAAAAAAAAGCATTAAATTTCTGCAAAGAATTTTGAAGAAAATTTATGTTCCATATATGGGTTGAATCCTCGAAGTGATGGAAAACCATAACATAAGTTTGAAAATACCAGTACACATACTCATACTGGAATGTCATTTGATTGGTATGTATCAACTGGTATGATATGGAACACCTTGGTAAACTAATTAGAAGCATACTGAAAATTGTTTGACATGTTAATACAACTAGTTCGATGCACTAGTACAGTAGAATCAGTATAAAATGGTACTTGAAAGTTGAAACCATGTTGTAACAGTCAAAGGCACCCAAGTCCTGATACACATGGCTGCCAGTAGTACTTGTAATTTGTTCGCCAGAGCATCTCCAAGTTCATGCCGGCTACAGCCCCTTCCATAATTAAAATTCCAGGATTGACAGCACAAGAAGTTGGCAAACATCACAGTATAAAAACCACTAATATAATCAAAAGATTACTTATAGAACCCTAGCCTGCTAGAAAAATTACAGCTAAAGGGGCAAATTAATCCAGCAATTCTTGATCTTTTTTATGTCTGCAACTTAACCAACAGTGCTCAATCTTAACTGCCTGTTGACTTGGTGACAACCATATATGTAAATTGGTATTAAGTTCTAAACCTGGAACTTTTCCTGACAAAAGGGACATGGAAGCCCAGAGCATAGATAACATGTAGGTGGTGAACCATATGGTCTCCTATCAAATCCTGTCTATGCAGTGCATTAGTTAAATCATCAAGTTCATTGGTAGTATTTGACTCGTTTAAGTGCTACTACCTGCAGAATATGACCATTTTATCTATCTGCGATGCATCACCCTCTAACCCACAAACAAATACTTTTCATCTTAATACAATCAGAGGAAACAAAAAGATGATTCATATCTCATGAAACATACCTTTGAAAATTACTACAATAATAAGCACCTTTTTCCAAGCAAATGAATGAAGAAAATATTGTTCTGGATGTTGCCAATATGGTTCTTATTATATCACACAGCTGGGAACCTTTCTTCAGGTGCACAGCTTTCTAGGGGCATCATAGATGAAAGGTATGCTGCTATGGAATCATACATGCCTCCTACATCAAACTTGTAGTGAAGCCTAAAGGAAGTTCTGTTGGTCTGAAAACAAGAGCCTTAAACAACACATACGATGTAAGAGCCATAAATGTCCTATCCACAGAAATAGTGCAGCCAAGGATACCATTTTGGTAACACAAGCTTGCAAATTGTATTCCGCTGAAGTGCTGTCATGGAGGGATCTCTTCGTATTGAAGACCAATGTTTGCAGCAGCTGTATACTTGGAGAGTTCCATATGACATGCTAAAGAATCCAAAATTGTGAGTATCTCATTCATTTTATCATTTGATCTATCTTCTGCTTTAAAATTATACACCTTGTTACCAATTTCAATCCAGCTGTACCCAGGACTTGTGCGCAGCCCTCTCTCCTTCATCAGCTTCCGAACTTTTGCTACATGATTCCAGTAACCTACACTTGCATAAAGATTTGCTAACTGAACATAAGTTGCAGCACAGCCTGGCTCTAACAACAACCTGTTCTCAGCAGCGTGAATGCCTATCCATACATTTCCATGAACCCTGCATGACGAAAGTAATGAGCCCCATATAACAGCATTTGGGTGGATTGGCATTTTCTTAATGACATCTAATGCCTCTTCCAACAACCCTGCACGGCCAAGAAGATCAATGATGCATGAGTAATGATCTAATTCTGGGTTTAGCCCACGTTTAAGCATTGAATCAAAACAACGCTGACCTTGCTCCACAAGTCCCACATGCCGGCACGAGGAGAGAACACAAAGGTAAGATATAGCATCAGGTGTTACATTCTGAGTATCCATTTGATTCAGCAAGTTCATGGCATTCTTAGCAAGTCCATGTTGGGAGAACCCAGAAATCATCGAATTCCATGAGATTAGATCCCTACATGGTATGTTCTTGAAGACACAATGGGCTTCCTCGATGCTTCCAGATTTAGCGTACATCGAGATCAATGCATTAGAAACATGTGTATACAGATCAAAACCCATTTTAAATTCTAAAGAGTGGATGCTCCTACCAAACCCAAGATAAGCACTGCTGGTGCAAGAACTCAAAACACTTGCAAATGTGATGTCATTCGGTTCTATCAGAGCCTGTCTCATCAAATAGAACAGTCGTGAACATGTGTCGACCTCCCAGGACTGTGCAAAACCTGCAATTATAGCAGTCCATGGTACAACATTCCTTGTGGGCATCATATCAAAAACATGATAAGCATTCCCCAACTGCCCAAGTTTGGAGTACAAGCTGATCAATGAGCTTCCACCAGGAATAGATACATCACAACCATTTTTAACCGAGAGAGCATGAAGCTGCAGCCCTGTTCCAAAAGTGCCTGTGGACACACAAGAACTAATTACAACAGAAAAAGTAGATGCATCCAAGCTGATCCCTCTCTTGTGCAATTCAAGAAATAACAAAAGAGCATCTTCCTTCACTGATTTACTGATTTGAGAGCATAAAAGAGATTTACAGTGATGACTCTTTTCAGACATAACCTTAGCATGATTACACAATTTACTACTTGTACTCTTCTTAACGAACTTTAAGCAATTCCGTTGATCAACTTCAAGAAGATCATGCATGCACCCCTGTATTAGGTGATAATGGCATGACTTGCTTTCAACCTTACTGGTCCTAGGGGTGACCAAGTCCAAAACTTTCAATGCCTTGTCAATCCCCTTACCATGTAACTTGCTATATCTACTAGAAGCTGTAAATGTGCTGAACTGCGATCGAACATGATGTGCTATGGAAAAGGGTCTGAAGATAGCAAAAGAATGCTCGAAAGAACCATGAAGAAAGTGATTGTACATCACAGTACTTATCCATGTGTAAGTTCCATTTTCCAAAAATTACCATTTTGTAACTGTAAACATGAAGCAAATCTACTAGCTGTAGCTTTCCAATTAATTTGCATAAACATAAGGACGTACTTTAGCTTGCAAGATAGTGCACAACTAGTGTAAATGCACCTGCAAGACAAAAAGATTAGTTACCCTAACCAAAAAAGGATAATTCCATTCCTGCTAAGAAGTTATTTAAAGAAAATCCTCTTTAAATTTATGCAAAAGATTCTAAAAAACACTTGGTAGTGGCTTAAGCAGTTAAAACAGTGTTCATACTGAATACTGAATTTGGACACAAACAAAACAAGATAATTGATATCAGCTGATGGAGCAGATACATTCTTAAGATATTTGTAAACAAATGTGGAATTTCTCCATCATTTTCTATGATATTTTTACTCTCTTGTACAATGTTGTTCAAGGTTATAAATGATTATGACGATTACTATAGTTGACACTTGACAATAGTACAGAGACATGACGGGCATCCAGATGAAACAAAAAAAATAGAAACTTCACTCTGAAAATTTTGCAAAATCTAATTTTAACTAAAAGAGTTGCTTACAAAGACGCAGAGAGAATAGATTTAACTTTATTTTTCCTTTGCAAATCCCAAAACCAAGAAGTTGACAAATTTTGTGGAAGCCTCATCCACTACTTGAGAAAGAGCCGGTTGATAATTACACGGCTTATCAAAGAATTGCATACGACGAAGTGACGGCCAATTCCAAAGCCTGACATGAACAACCAAACCGGAAATGAACAAAGCCATTGCACATAGCTTTTCCCATCTTCTCTTTTCTCACGAATCAAATTATAGACCAAATATAAAAATAAAATAACAAAAAAAATAAAGTAAAGGTGTATAGAAACGAGGTGGAGCGAGGCGGGGAATCATCGAAACTTAAAACTAGAGCTCGGATGGTACATTCTTATCGAAGAACGAAAGGAAGAGTCGAGACGATGTTGCGCACCATTACGAGTGGCCACAATTCTGCTTCTGTTGCTGCTGCTGAGATGAGGAGGCGCGACAGGGGTGACGATTGCTTGCCGACAGTGCAGAGACGGCGATCGACGGACTTGCGCTGGCGGCGACCGACATGGGATGCGATTCGTTCTCGTCTCGGCGTCAGTAAAGGGTTTGGGGACTCACTTGATGCCCAAACCCAAAACCTAGGGATGGGTAATCCGGTAATATCCGATCCGTTTACATCGGGTTCGGTTATCTTCTTTCGTTGGATTTAAAATGGATTCGGGTTTCAGTGCGAACAGCACACTTAACCGACGGCCACACATCGCGCGGATGCTGTCCCTCCTCCGCCCTCCTCCCTCCCTCCCGCCTCTCCTCCATGATTCGCCTCGTCTCGATTCACATGAGATAGCTAAGATTTCACCGTCAAATCGATCCAAAGTAATGGGATAAGGGAAGCATCGTTGCGAATCCGAGCTCGCCTTCTGGATTTCTTCCTCGACCGCGAACCCTTCTTGTAGGGTTCGTGGTCTCATGGGGTCTACTTGCGTACGTTTCCCCTTTTCCCTCTTCTCTTTCTCTTTAATCCTGTTTGGTCATGCTAAATATCTTCAATCTTAGACAGAGAATGCAACAGATGATGTGTCCAGCTTGTTATGAAAATTGGTCAGTTTCTTTCACTGATCAGTTATATTCTGTGCATTGAGCACAATTTATTGGCTAAAACATCAATACTGTTGTTGATTACATTAGAAGTTATGCAACTACACATGACTCTTTCATTTTAGTATATGATTCATTAATGTGATTTCACTCCTTATAACACATTATTCGCAGTAACACACTATTTTTGTATACTTCAATGGAACTTCATATATGAAACTGTCAAGGTTCAAGCTGCAGTCAGAATCATCCTTGGGTGTGCCATTGATGGTGTCTCACTTATATTGCCAAACATAAATGGATGTCTTGTATGGAACAAATAAACCATTAAGAATGAGGATGATGATGCCAATGGGAGCGGAAAATCTAGCATGGTAGAAGAAGGTTTTCAAGAAAGGTAGAAAGGGATCACAAATTCGTGTCTCAGATTTCAGCATTAATTTTATGTTGTCTATTATTAAATCCTAGTCATAACTAAGATGTCATTATGAAAATGAAACATTGGCGCGATCAATTTTGGCCATCAACTCGAAACGGTGAGATTGACTTGACTTGACCCATTTTTCAAATGCTATTGCACTTGGAAGAGGACAAGAAGATCTTCTTCAGAGAGTGTGATATGGGAGTCATGACTAGTCAGAGAGAAATTCCCCTAGGGACAGAAAATTTGTGTATCTCATAACTCATTTTGGTTTGTTCTCATAAAATATTATGTCGAGGTGTGTCTGGTAAGAACCCTCAGTCGAGTCAGTTTTGTTCGTTATGGGTAAAAGAAGATCCATAAGAAATATGAGTGTTCAGATTTATGAGTGAGTTTAGAAACTAAAACGTCTCATAAGAAATACGAGTTTATATAGAGTTGGTTTTGTTATCACCATCAATTATGAAATATTAAGTTGTTTAATGAGAAAATATTTCTTTTAGGTATCATTGCTGATATAGGTAATGGTGTTTTATCAAATGTTGTTGATTCAAAAAAAAGTAAGAGTACAACAAAAATAACAAAGTCGTAAAGTCATAACTATTTAATGTCAGTTATATGGATCTCTTACCAGATGGCTACAACCAAGTGAAAGAGAACAATAAATCGAAACACACTTTGGCCTACCCTACAAATAAGGGAAGAGACGATTGAGACACAGTTAAATAGGGGATGTTTGGTAGAATATTCATGTGTGTGAAAGAACTAAGAGAGGACCAAGGAATACTCCTAAATTGCTAACTCTTAAAAAGAGTGGGGTGACATATATTGAGTTCGGCCACATCATTAGATTGAATTGGTGTCCCGTCTTGTATATGTCAACCTTGACTAGTTTGACTTAACTTCTCATCAATTTTAAGTGTCTATAAAATCATGAATTTTGAAACCCAAGAGGAAGATAATGAGTATTAAGCACACTATGGAGCTGACAACTCCAGATTAGTGTATATGAAAGCCACTCTGGGAAAAGAATTACCTCGTATGTTGGAATAAATAATTGGTGACACAAAGCACCTTTCTTGGTCACATAAAGCTCAATCACAGGCCCCAAGGCCCTTGTGCTGCAAGAAATTAAGGAATTCATACTGTGGAACTAGATCTGGGAACATAATCATGTTCCTATTTATTCACTGTCCAAATCTTTTCTTTCTCCACAAGGGAAAAAAGACAATCTATGACATACTGGTACAAATATAGACTTTTTTTTACTCTGGAACTTCATATTGTTTTTTTATAATTAAAAACCTAATATCATGTTCATTTTGGAGAGAAGCAAACACTGCCTTTGTAAATGAGATATTTCTTAATAATATCACCTCTTTTTGTCTGAGAGCAGTTTGGTGGCATGAGAAGGATATTCTGATCCTGCTCTGGTAATGCTGCTTTCTGGACTAAATAGTATTAATCAAGGCAATTCTTTCTTGAATTTTTAACCCATAACGTAAGAAAAGTTGGTGGTGTGTTAATATTTCGTTTGTTTCAACACATATTCTTCAGTTTTGAGCTTATCATGCAAGATAGTGAAATTGAACACATTCTATTATTGAGATATAATAATCCAGTTATATTAGAAGTTTATGGGATATCAACCATATTTCTCTGCATATTGAGCCATTATTGATGCTCAGACTTGAGTAAATTATAGTAAAAACATGGATCCTTGACGCATACAAATCAAGCACACAAAAAGGGTGCCAAACAATTAAGCCTAAGATGAATACTAGACTTGGTTTACACTGAAACGTTACACAAGGCATTTCTTACAGAAACTCTCACCTTTTAGGCCTTGATTTTACAGGTAAGAGATGAACCAAAAGTGTCAGAATCCTTCATGTTTATTTTTTCTTTCAAATCTGTATGCTGTATAGTATGGGCGTTTGTATAACATTTGAGAAATGGGCATAAATTTAGGAGTCATTGAAGGGAAGGTTTGGCCATTTCTGACATTTGAGAAATGAATAACCCAACATAAGCTATCAGGCCTTGTTTGTTGATATAATATCTGGAAATTGGCCTGGCTATTTATACATGGTTACTCTGTATATAGTTAAAATTTGATTACAATGCCTGTTGGTCTATTTAGAATACTTCCACTCTACTGCAATTACTGGATAATAATGCATAGCAGCGAGATTAAATTTTTTCAAAACACTACCTGCCAAAGGTGGTCCTGATTTTGAAAAGCATGTGGTTGGTGCAAGAGTAATCCCATGGTCTCATGTATTAGGTGTAATTGGTCGGATTACAGCTAACTTAACAAGTTTATAAATCTAAGCAAGCAAAATCAATTGGAGCATCTCACTGATGTAGAGCCTATCCTTGGTGTCCAATCTATACAAAAGTATGATCTTGCTATTGCCAAGTTTTAACAACAGCAATACTGCCTATGATATTCCACATAATCTAATGTTGGATGCCCTACATTTATGAAGCCCTTAAATAAATGGATTGACTTTGAGAGAGATCACAGGGAATTTTGTATATATACAAGATACATGACCTAGAAGGGCAGTGCAGAATTGATCCTTTGAGGGCAAAATTAAAAGGACAAGAAACCAAATAAAAAATGATTTGTTTCTACTTAGGCATGGCTATTTAAACAAATATCATTCACATTTTTCTATTCATTTTGTCTCTCAGGAAATGATGGCATGCTTGTGCATGTCTCTCAGAATTCTATTTCCAGTGATCATGGTATTCATTATTGCTTTCTCTTTTTATCTTTGTTAGTATCTAACTGATTTTTGTATATTATTACTATTAGGTGGCAGACAATATCCTATGGGACTGAATCATGTACAGTAAGGTGCAGTTTGGCAAGGTTTGGTCTTTGTCCACTTGCTCTTAGCTGCTACTCCCAACCTCTAATAGAATATGTTGGAGGAGAGCATTTCTTAATCCTCAAAGTCTTCCTACTTCATTAAAGAAGAGAAAGAGGACATTAACGAATCATGACATGCTTCAGGAGGAATGTTATGCTGGTGCAGACCATGTGCTACGAGAAAAGGATCCCATACGTTTGGTGATGATGCAGTCTTCTCCTTCCAGAACAAATAAGAGGAGTTGAAGTAGGCGTTGATGCTGGACCAGCAACGTGCTTCCCAACACTAAATCTTATGCCCGGAAGACCTGCTTGCATATCTGCTGCATCGAGTAAAGACTCTCTCTTTCTTTCCTTTTTTCTTTTCTTTTGTCTTGTCTCAGCTGAGCTGTTGGTGATGAGCAGCAGCGCATGTTCTGTTTCCTTTCTGTATTGCTGGAAGCTAAATCTTGTTGCAGAAGCAATAGTTTTTACTCGCCTTGGCGTCTGACCTCTGATATGCTTTCCCTGCAGCAACAACCGTGTTCAATAAAGCACTGGCATGTGGACCAGAAAGAGTAGCACGCATGTTGCCATCTTACGCTATCATGTAATTGTGTCATTCATTGATTGAACATTTCCCCACACTTGTTAGCTAATTTTCTTCATTTTTTGTTAGATTTGGAGTGCCATATCAATCATCTCAAGACAGCTGAAATGGTTCGCAGAAGGATCCTCCATTAACCTTCTAAGAATCGCCATGTTCCGGATATCATATCATAGCAACGAGGTGGGTGAAGGGTACCAACATCAATTTTTATATATTAAAGAATAATTATAGTGCATGAACTCTCTACAGTTGAATTATATCGATGTCAAGCAGCCCTACATAATTCTTTTTCTTTGTTTTCTCTTCACAAAAAAAAAGAAAAAGAAAAAAAATTTAATCTATTATTAAATATATTTTAATATTTTCTAAACACATCTAAGTTTTGTTTTTTCATTATTTGAATGAAAAATAAATAAATTAAATACTTTACCATTTAAATAATATTTTTAATTATATAATTTGTATCCATATTTATTCTATTAAAAATTTAAATTTAGACAATCGATCCGTCGGCTTAATTAATTATACACTGATGTAAGACTTGACCGAATGATGTCCCGTGCGATTCGAACTGATCGCATCCAGCGGCGGCGATTGGGACACGCCGGCTTGCATTTACTTCTTAGCCCGAGGAAAGTACGACTACAGCATGGACCGTCCTCGCTGGACCCAATCTACTCGACGCACGGCCATGTGAGAACGGGTGGGCCGTCGCCCTCGCGGGGTCCACCTCCAAATCAGGTAAGTGTCAAACGGGGTGCACCGCTTGAGTGTCCGACAGCCAACCATGACGTTGACTCCATGGACGATCACCACAATCACAACTGGTTTCCAAGCGCTTGGTAATGCTCACCCACGCCTTGGCCGTACGCCGAGAAGTCCACCCTTGGACGATACGGTATCAACCCATCGGGTCAACTCTAAACATTCACCAACTCATGACTACGGTAGTAAGTAAGTACGAACACAAATACCACTCAGACTACTGTTTGTGATGCGGACTTAACTGATTTACCTAATTAATGTAATATCCCCTTATTTTTCTTGTAATCTGATGCGATTAAGAAAACAAATCGAAGTATTTTTCAATTCTTACATATTATTTATTTGAAAGATAAAAAAATTAAAATTAGTTAAAAACATAAATGAATTCCACAATGGAGTGGTTAGCACTTCAAATTTGAAGTCTAATGACTTTGATTTAAATATTAATAAAAATATTTTTATTTCTTTTATCAATCAGAATTGACAATATGAACTTGAACCTAAATCGCTTGAAATCAATTTTATTCTAATTTTAATTTTCATGGAACTAGATTCATCGATATGAGAAATCATATGAATGATGGTAGAATTTACCTCTACTAAATCTAAAAATTTATGTAATAGTTTACGACAATATTTTATATATTCATATAAAAATTTAATTTACTTTGTAAATATATAACCGAATATCGTCTATTATTATTATTATTATTATTTTGGTCATATTACTATATATATCGAAATATAAATTTGAAATACCATAAATACAACAATAAGAATAATAATTTACTTGTGAGGGGAGGAATGGAGTGGACCGCAACATCGCCGGTGTCGGTGGACCGACCTCAAATTTCCCATATTCGATGTTACGTGGCCGATAAGCCGGTCACAGTTGTTGTGTCATTTCAAATTTCGACTGGTAGAATTCTCCTCCTCCCTATTAATATCCCAAACACCCCCTCACCCTCTCCCCCCGCTCCTCTCTCTCTCTCTCTCTCGACCGCCATGGAACCTGCAACTCCGCCGTAGAGGGAGATAGACACAGGAAGCGGGTGACGGGAGGAGATATACCGCCAGTTACCAGACACCATAGAGAGAATGGGACCAGCGCGCGGCTACATGGATGTCCCCCTCGGTGACCACACGGCGCATGAGCTGGAGAGCATCGTGGTTCAAGGCGACCACATCCAGCCGGCTGCGGACCCGCCGCCGCCGACCAATGCGACGCCGAGGAGCTCCGCCCGGGGCCTCCTGCCCCAGCCGTCCAAGATCAAGTTGGGATTCCGGGATTCGACCAGGAGCACCGGCGGTGGGGAGAGGAAGAACCCCGGGAAGATGACCCGGATGGTGTCCAGCGCGCAGATGGGGATCAAGGGCCTCCGCTTCCTCGACAAGACGTCCGGTGGGAAGGAGGGGTGGAACGCCGTCGAGAAGCGGTTCGGCCAATTCGCCGTCGGCGGACGGCTTCCCAAGGAGCACTTCGGCCGTTGCATTGGTGAGTGCCTCCATCTTTTGCTTTGAGGATGTAGAATAACCCAGAGCTTAGTCTTGTAAGTGAAGTCTCCATTCAATCTAGTACTCCTGAGGCGGCAAATTAGGGAAGAATAGGTTGTGCACATGGTGAAGAGCATCACTGAATGGTCTTATTTCCTAATTGGTTTGATATCGATCTGCCGTGGCCATCAGACATTGTTATCACATCAATAGAGCGATTTAACCCACAAAAAGCATATATCAGAATCTACTGAATCACACTGACGATTTGGAAGTGCTGATGAGGGAAAAAACACTTCAAACAAAAGAAATGAAAAAGACAGGATGTGATATTTCTTAGTAAAAGACAGATCTTTGTTCCTTTCTTTTCCTGAGAAATTGATTAGATCTAGGAATGAATTTGTTGGTTCTTATATATAATTTTGTTCTGGGTTCCCATTTGTAAGGCATGGCTGAGTCGGAGTTTGCTGGGGAGCTATTTGTTGCTTTAGCAAGGAGGAGAAACTTGGAGCCAGAAAACGGTGTGACCAAAGCCGAACTGAAGGAGTTTTGGGAGGAAATGACAGACCGAAACTTTGATTCTCGGCTACAGATATTCTTCGACATGTAACCATTTTTTCTCAACTTTATCTGCTTTCTGCACTGAGACCCATTAATTTTTACATGACATGACCTGCTTTGTTGCCAAAATAGGTGTGACAAGAACGGTGATGGAAAGCTCTCAGAAGAGGAGGTGAAAGAGGTAGACAATCTTGATATCTCTATTAAATCTCACTTCCCATTGGTTGGAAATGCTCTATTCCTTTACGGTGTGGACAAATTAATGACACACAGATTGTCTTCCTCACAGATTATCATACTCAGTGCCTCGGCAAACAAGCTTGCCAAGCTGAAAGCAAATGCAGCGACCTATGCTGCTCTCATAATGGAGGAGCTTGACCCAGATGGTCTAGGCTATATTGAGGTACCGAGGCATCTGTTGAATTTTCAAAGAAATATCAGAAGTTGGACAAATATCTTGTATCAGGAAGATCTAGTAGACTAATCGCACTAACACTTTTGTGTCTTATGATATCTATTCCAGCTTTGGCAGCTTGAGACATTACTTCGAGGGATGGTTAGCTCACAAGGATCTGAGAAAACACTCAAGCGTTCACACAGCCTTGCAAGGACAATGATACCGATGAGATACAGAAACCCAGTCAACAAGTTTGTCAGCAAGACTGCAGATTCTGTTCATGAGAACTGGAAGAGGATATGGGTTATTTCCTTTTGGTTGACACTCAATATAGTCCTAGCAGCATGGAAATTTGCCCAGTACAAAAGGAAGGCAGCATTTGAGGTGATGGGTTACTGTGTCTGCATCGCCAAGGCTGCAGCTGAGACCCTGAAATTCAACATGGCTCTAATTCTCATCCCTGTTTGTCGGAACACCCTCACGAGGCTCAGATCAACCCGTCTTAGTTCAGTATTCCCATTTGATGACAACATCAACTTCCACAAGGTAAGCAAGCCTTTCGAACATTAAGCTTACTGAAAAAGAAATACTTTGTGAATGTCCATATGTGTTCCTCTTACATACAAATATTTGCAGGTCATTGCACTGGGAATAACAATCGGAACTTTAGTGCATACCCTCGCTCATGTAACCTGTGATTTTCCAAGGCTAATAACATGCCCAAAGTCAAAGTTCATGAGAACACTTGGGCCCAATTTCCACTACAAGCAACCAACTTATCCATCTCTGTTAGCAAGTGCTCCTGGGGTCACTGGTATCCTCATGATCATCATCATGGCATTTTCTTTCACACTGGCAACACATTCTTTTAGGAGGAGTGTCGTGAAGTTGCCATCACCCCTCCACCATTTAGCTGGTTTCAATGCGTTTTGGTATGCGCACCATCTTCTGGCTGTCGTATATGCCCTTCTGATAGTGCATTCATACTTCATTTTTCTCACCAAGGAATGGTACAAGAAGACAGTAAGTCATGCTTTATATTCATCATATAGCAATATTAAAGTAGTTCTTGTTATTCTGGCAGATAATAACTTATCTTTCTTTGGACAGACATGGATGTATCTAATGATTCCAGTCCTATTTTATGTCTGCGAGAGATCAATTCGGAAAGTTCGTGAGAAAAGCTTTCGTGTCAGCATTGTTAAGGTAAGCTACTCATATCTATATGTATATATGTATATGTTTGTATATATATGTATATATATATGTGTATATATATGTATGTGTATATATATCCATGAACTGGCCAATCAACAAAAGAAGTGCAAAAATGAAATGCATCACCTTTTGTATATGTCATACAGGCAGCAATATATCCGGGTAATGTCCTTTCAATACATATGAAAAAGCCACCAGGTTTCAAATACAAAAGCGGAATGTACCTATTCGTCAAATGTCCAGATGTCTCACCTTATGAATGGTATGTGCTTAGCTTCAGATCACATTTGACTTAGTGACAATTCCTGTATTCACCTTTGTATTTATCTCCACAGGCATCCATTCTCAATCACTTCGGCACCAGGAGATGAGCACCTGAGTGTTCATATCCGTACCCTGGGGGACTGGACATCTGAGCTAAGGAATCTATTTGGAAAGGTTAGTTCAAGCAGAAAGTTATTGCCAAAGAGGACTATCTAAAATTTTTTCAGAATTTTCTAACAGAAGTCTCTTTATACAGGTTTGCCAGGCTCAGGTGACTTCAAAGAAGGCTAACCTAGTTAGACTTGAAACCACAGTTTTTGCAGATGTTCAATTTGACGATACAAGGTGATCGGAACTCTGTAGAAGCAAGTAATATTAACCTATAAACACTATGCAAATTGTAAACGCATTAATTGCTTTTCAGATTTCCTAAGCTCTACATTGATGGGCCATATGGTGCACCAGCTCAAAATTACAAGAAATATGACATTCTTTTGCTCGTTGGACTAGGAATTGGTGCAACTCCATTTATAAGTATACTGAAGGATCTCCTGAACAATATAAAGACCAACGAAGTATTCTATACTCTCATTTATTTTCACTAGTAGCAAGGTAGTATTTTAAAGGCATTATTTACAGGCTCAAAACTCATGCAGGAAATGCAAAGAATACATAATGCAGATGCAACCGCCATCAAAGAAAATGGTCCAGGAAGGGCTTACTTCTATTGGGTGACAAGGGAACAAGGATCATTTGAATGGTTCAAAGGTGTCATGAATGATGTTGCCGAAAGTGACTATAATGTACTTCCCTAAAGTTGTTTCCTGGTAACTGACTGGTAATTTCCATTTTTCATAGAACCATAACTGATAAAGAGCGAATGTATATGCAGAATGTCATAGAGATGCACAACTACTTGACAAGTGTGTATGAAGAAGGTGATGCAAGGTCGGCGCTTATTGCAATGGTTCAATCACTTCAACATGCCAAAAGTGGTGTTGACATCGTCTCTGGAAGTCGGGTAATTGACTTTCTTAATTCAGATAAATGAACATTTGCTCCTTTCTAGTTTCTAACTCATACTTGACAGATACGCACACACTTTGCGAGGCCAAATTGGAGGAAAGTGTTCACTGACTTGGCCAGTGCCCACAAAGCTGCTCGAATAGGTGAACTCTTGTCGAACTTTTAGTATGTCAACCTTCTCACTTCCTAGATCCCTAATATGTGGTATTGCAGGTGTTTTTTACTGTGGATCCCCCACACTCACAAAACAACTGAGGGATCTCTCACAAGAATTCAGCTATAATACCACTACTCGATTCCATTTCCACAAGGAGAACTTCTAGAGATGATAGAAGTTGACACTGATAGTTGAAACATCACTGTATATGAAAAGAGAGCGAATTTAGTAAAAGAGTCTTGTATAGAAATCCAGTGTTGATTGGTGAAATGTCACATTACACACACAAAGAAAAGATTTAGAACAGGTGTGAAGTAGTGAGGAATAATTCCAACCTGAAGGTGATTTAAGGATTTTATTCAATCATGAGTATTTTGAAGAAAATTTCTTTCTTTTCTCTCTAGCTTGTCTGATCTAGCAGTTGTGATGTTTCACTTCCCTACTTTCATCTTATAATCTTTCTGTGCAGCTGCTTCCTAAATTAGATCATTTGGTAATGATACTTCAACTTTAATTTCTCTGCAATGGATATAACACCTTCAACTGCTTTCAGCGTTTGAGAGACTTGACTAAGATCCATCATTTTGCAGCTCAGATGCAGAGTTATAATTATTGTTGCAGATAGAAAAACAAGCTTCTCCATTTTCTCTAGTCTTCCTTTTGCATATCCAAAATCTCCTCTGTTCCTATTGAGCTGCTTCAAACAGCTACTATTTTATAGTGGAACTGAAATGTGGAGTGGCAATCTTACTTCCAGACTTGTTGCAGCCACTTGCTAATGCTATATAGTTTCTAGGTTAATGGATGCTGCAGAACAAGCAGATGAAGGTGGCAGATTTCCTGATGATTGCTATTCTTCTACATCATGACTTGCTTTTAAGAGTCATCATGTTGGCTTAACTCATACTTGGCTCGTCTGCTCATTTGCATCCTCCAAATCTGATACCATATTAAGGATTCGAAAGGACGATCTTCAATATCGACTCAAGTACGATGATCTTGGAATGTCATCAAATAGCTACCTACTAATCAATCTGGATGATTAGAATGTACTAAAAACTCAATCTACACTAGAAGATCAATTTGCCTAACCTATCAACATTCTACCTAAATATAGAATTAAAAGGAACAAGACTAGAGAACCAGAGAAGTCAACGCGTTGAATCACTTGAACTTGCCGTGGCGACCTTAGCCATGGTGGTGCGTCCCATGGCCAAGATGAAGGTGCCCATGCGACAGCAACTGGTGAGCCCCCGCGGCCGCCGCAGCCGCTGCTCCCCCTAGCAACGCCCCCACGCCGGAACCGTGCCCTGGATACACGAAAAGCACGCATTATGATGGAACTAGTTTCCAGTGCTGGTGAGTTACTACCATGATGCGGCGGCGCTGACGGCCCGGGGGCCGGTGGATATCCTGATGGCGGCTGCGGGTATCCGTAAGGTGGCTATCTTTGAAAGCAGTCCTTTGATACTAGAATGCGATGCTTCGTGCTTCATCTTTTCCACCTCCCATGTTATCTTCACTGCAATGGGTGAAAGCAAAAGCCTCATTATTAGTGCCTAATAAGTCTAAAGAAACCCTCACATTGCTAAAGATGAACGAAGACGGACGTACCAATGCGATCCGATGGCGCTATCTTCCTTCCTCTCAGATGAGCGATGCAACCGAGTCAGTCGATCGATCTATGGCATTATACAGGAGGGAGACACACAGCTCTCGCTCGAGGAGAAAGAGGTGCAGCCGATCCCAACTTCCGCGAAAGCGGCCTCGAATCCATCCGATGACGCGGCGTGACTCAACCGGGGCCTACTCATCAGCCTCCGGATCTTCCTGGGCTGTCATTCGAGTAAGATTTTGCCTTTTTCTTTAATTACCCTGCAATTAGATATTTTTAGCATTGTAATTTTTAAATTTAAAAAAATTACATTAAAATTTTTATAATTATAAAAATGTAACATATAACTATATTTACCCTATCGACGTCAGTTTTATCGACAAAAAATATAACACATGTAGAAATAATATGAAAATAATGGGTAAAAAGATAATTTCAATATCTCAATTACGTTTTTCGTGGTGATGGACGACTAAACTACCAGGGGCCATGAATGACTGTGATTGACGAGAATGACGTAGTAATTGGTGAGAACACTAGGAAGAAGACGACGTAGATGCCGACGCTCATTCTTCTTCTCCCTTTCCCAATCCCTCATCATTCTTCCTTCTTTCACTGCTGCACGCATAAGATGGGAAAAAGGATGAGCGATGCTCGGCATCCTTGCATTGCTCATCCTTTTTTCTCCTTGCGCATGATGAGCGATGAAAGAGGGACGAAGGATGAGAGATAGAGGAAGCAGGGAAGAAGGATAAGCATCGCCCTTCCCTGTATTATTATCGGCATCGACGCAGATGAAGAACAGTGCCACCCTTTCGCACATTATTATCGACACTAATACATATGCATATACAGATCATCGCTCGACATCTACGTCAGCACCGACGCAGTTGCCGAGTGACATCGACGCAAATGCAAAGTGTCAATATCTACATCATCCTCTTCTTCAAGAAGTCACAGAAGTCCTTAGTGTTATCGTCGAGCATTGCATCGTTCTCATCGACCACAACCACTCATGGCCCATAACAGCATCATCGTCTGCTACCACCGAAAGCATAATCGAAATGTTGAAATTACCTTTTTTATGTTTATCATTTTCGTATCATTTTTACATGTGTTGTATCTTTCGTCGATAAAATAAACGACATTAGAGTAAATAGAGTTAAATATTTTAATTTTATAACTAGATTTCATATAAATTTTTTAACAGTAGGAAATGAGATGTAAAGAAGTCTAACTATAAACGGTAATAAAGTCTAACTATAAAAAATTAATTTTAATTATTTTTTAATCATACTATATAAATAATAATAATAATAATTTAACTAAAAAATTCTATTATTTATGATAAATAATTTATATCAAGAGAGAAAAATAATCGATGATTATATTTATACCAAGAATTTGGTGAATATATATTATACGTAATTAGCAGGGATATGTCATTATTAGCACAGATTTTACTAGCAGAATCAACTTTTGGTGAGAATCTTATTCATAATTAACAGACGTTTTGACTCATTTTTACAATCAAAAACAACGATCCGATTAAATCAAACACGAGAACAGTGTTGTGCTGCTGCGGCACCGACAGCATTCAGTGTTGCGTGCGCGCACCTCGCTCTAACGTTTCCTTCCTGTGAGAGACTCACACAGCATCTCTCGGTTCGGACGCCACAGTTGATCCAAGGCTAGACCATCTCAACCGTCCATTCATCAAGGCATTTATTTCTATTTATATACGCCGATCGCCGACACGATCGAGCGAGCTCGCGTGCAAGTCTCAGGCGGCTGGTTGGCTAGGGTTTCCTCTTGTCTCTCCCCTAGGTCTGTCAGGTGACTGATTCTTTCTTATCTTCCTAATTCAAGGTTTTAGCTTACCTTCATGTAATCTTTTCTGACAACTGAGTTTCACCGTGGTTTGATCATTACATGCGATCTGTCGTCTTCTCATGGTGATGGGTGTAGGATTTGGAATCTGGTAAAAATTGGTTCTTGATTCTTTTGATCCAGAAGCATAGGGTCGAGGGACGCTCAGATACATGAAAAACGATTTTTTTTTTCTGTTATTTGCTTATTAAGAATTTGGTGGATTATTCGAAGTTCATAAATTTGCTGCTACGGGGCTAAAAACCCTAACTTTCCATCTCCTGAGTCTTTTTTTTTTCCCTTTCCTTGATTAGTGCGGGCTATTTTGATCTGCACATCATCGAATCTGTGTCTGCATCTGCAGACAAAAGGATGTACCTAAGGCAAATAATTAAACAAATGTGGGTTTTGTGTGAGAGAATGTACCAGGCCGGATATGAACGAGGTTAAAGTTAGGTTGTCTATTATTTTATAAATTCAATGATTTAGTAGTAATGATAAACACAATGCAGTTTTTTGAAAGTCATATCTTGTTTGGTTTCTCTCACAGGTGGAGCAATATGGCATATGAAGTTTGACTCTTTCATTTAAGATGCTTTGTGATTTATTAAATTCATTCATATTATGTAGAAGTAACAAAACTAAAATTTCATATTCATCTTGGTTCATTTCAAATTGTGACCCACTTAATTGTTGCTTGTTCTTTCTCTGCATGCAAGTTAATGCCCTTGCTCTTGATCATATGACATCTATATATGTTCAAGTGAGAAGAGGATTAAGAAGGTTTTCTGTTGATATTTTTTTCCTTCTTGAATTAAATCAAACCGTGTAAAAAGCTTCCGATGCTTCGAAACTATATAAAATATTTTATGTAGGTTCTGAGGTATGGTTACTGGTCGATGTTGGAAATAAAATCTAGCTATGTATTCTCGTTGAGAGTAATTGAGCTTGTTGTACTAGAGGCTTCCCTAAAGATAGTTGAGTGTGATTTAGCACTCTTAAGTTTTGTTATTTAGCCAAACCCATCACTTTTACTTCTTGTTATTGCTCACTGTGCATGGTAATTTTCGTATTTGCAATGCATTTTTATTAGAGAAGATAGAACAATGCCTTCTAGTTTTTAGTTTGAGCTTTAAAATGAGACAGCTTATAAGTTGAATCCACTCCCTCAAACTTTTTTCGTGCATCTTTAGTCTCTCATTCATCTATCTACAGTTTTAAATAACTATCTACAGTTTTAAATAAGACAATTAAAACAAGTAATGTGTTGACATTAACAGTTAGCTTAACTTTTCATTTTTTTAGCTAGTGCCTATAAAATACCAGCTTGTGGAAATGCTTGCATAACTTTTATGGTATTTGTTGAAGATTTGCAGCACCCAAAATGCCTCGCTATGATGATCGTTATGGTGGCACACGTCTATATGTTGGCCACCTGTCATCACGTACTCGTTCGCGTGATCTTGAAGACCTCTTCAGCAGATATGGCAGGTATTAAAGCTGCTGGTGCATACTAATGCTGCATTGTTTTCATCAGCATCTGATTCTAGTAATAATTGTTGTCACTTTGTAGGATGAATCTTTTTTTCTCCATTTATACATTATAAATAATAATATTTAGTCACAAATTGATTAGTTTCACGTATAAGGTAGGGCAGTTTTGCTGGCTTTATGTTCACATAATTCTTTGGGTTCTTTATGGTCATCTTTTTATGTACCACACATTTATGCGTCTGTCATCATCTCCAAAATTTAATTTATTTTCACTATTTTACTGTATATAGAAAGCTGACCATCTGGATTTTTGTGATGGTAGCTATTTTGTTTTCTTTTTCTTTTTCATTTGGTTTCCACACGATGTCTCCTAGCTGAGATAACTTGCTGAGGTGATTGGAGATGTCATTGTTTCCCGAGCCAGTATGTTGTGCTGGGATGTTTGCCATTTATCTTTATATGTTATATTGCGAGAAGGTTAAAGCAAAGTGAGTGTGTTTTAACTTGAATGATGTTGTTGAAGGTTGTTGGGTTTTTGCCCAGCCGGGAGGTCTCTGGTGAGAGGGTGCCCTCGGTGGAATTGGTGGCTAGTCTTGCAAACTTAAATGAGAGTTTGGCGATTCTTTTGTAGTCTTATTGCGTGTCACAAAGTGGTGTTTTGTTCTTCTGAGGTGCGAATTATCATATGGTGTGCTACTTAACTTCTGATGGCCTTATTCTTTCTGGCAACTATTTCCGCAGAGTACGAGATGTGGATATGAAGCATGACTATGCTTTCATTGTATGTCAACTTCTACTCTTTATGCAATCTCTACAGTTTCCTTTCTTTCTTATTATTGGCTTTTGTGATGCCAATAAACATTACCATTCACATGTTTTGTTAATACCATCTGATTTTGTTTTTCTGTTTTCTATATGTTGGGTTTGTCTAAACATTTTCAGGAATTTAGCGATCCTCGGGATGCAGATGATGCTAGATACAGCTTAAATGGGAGAGAATTTGATGGGAGTCGTATTATTGTGGAATTTGCAAAGGGGGTATGTAGTTTAACTATGAAGTCAATATATTAATTTACCACTTTTTGTTTCCTCCTACTGAAAGTTGGTATTCCCTCAGATTCCACGTGGTTCTGGAGGATCACGTGAGTATCTTGGAAGAGGCCCTCCACCTGGTTCTGGCAGGTGCTTCAACTGTGGCATAGATGGCCATTGGGCTCGAGACTGCAAAGCAGGTGATTGGAAGAACAAGTGTTATCGCTGTGGAGAAAGAGGCCATATAGAAAGAAACTGCCATAACAGTCCAAAAACTCTCAAGTATGATTTGTTTTGGCTTTTCCTATTGGTAATTATTTCTTTGGCAATGGCTTTTCTGGCACTGGGTCGCTCGTGGAGATTGTTATGGTTCCCTATGCAGACGTGGGAGAAGCTATTCACGATCTCCATCCCCTCGCCATGGTAGGAGCCGAAGCTATAGTAGAAGCCGCAGTTATAGGTAAAGCAAAAAATATTCAGATCCTTTATGGTTCCTTTCGCAAGCTTGGCATTTAGTTTAAATTTTGGTTTGTTGCTTCTAAATGCTGCATGTCTGTAAAAGACTCATCGTTAGAGGGCTGCATTGTTATTTAAAAGGGTGATGTGACTTTGTGGTTGTTCGATAATTATGATGGATATGCAGTTATAGTTTTTGTGTTCATCTAAAAGTACTGGTCTTTCTAACTTTTATGTTTTCCACCACCAGCCGATCTAGGTCTCCTGCTCCTAGAAGAGATGGGCGGCACACAGAACGGGAGGACACAAGGTCAAGAAGTCCTGGTTATGACAGGAGCCCAAGGTCAAGAAGTCCAAGGTCAAGGAGCCCAAGGTCAAGGAAGAGCACATCCTCACCTAAGGGGAGGAAGCAGAGCCTTTCACCCGACGGTAGCAAGAGCCCACGAGCGAGCCGGAGCCCCTCACCCACGGAACGCAGGGAGGTTGAGCGCAATGGATCAAACTACAATGAGAGTCCTGTGAGGGAGAACAGCAGGAGCCCAACGAGTCAGGATCGTGATAACTCTCCAGTGGGTGGAGGGTATCAGAGCCCTGAGACGAACCGGCGGAGCCCTAGTCCCAAGGACGATAGGGACGAAGATGGACATGCTTCTCCCAGAGCTAGCGAGTCACAGGACTGATCTGGATTCAGTAGTTAAACAGAACTCTGTTAGTAGTAAATTCCATAAACGAGAGATGTCTTCAAGGACAATTGTCGGAACTTCTAATTGCATGATTTGTCTTAACTAATTTGCTATACTTTTATATTTTTGTATTCATGTGATGTGTGGATGCTCAGTTTGACCGATGCAGAAGTTGCATGTTAAATTAGATGGTGGTGTTGAAAGAGTAGGTGAATCTGGGTGATAAATTCGAGTTACAAGGAAAAGTGTTCCAGGAACATTGAAAAGGTAATCCAGGAATGTGTTTTAACAGTCCAACTTTCTGTGTCCTTTCCAAGCTTGATCCAATTTTGGAGCATTTCTTGGGTACATTAGTTTGAACCGATGGATCCATTGCGTTCTTTAGATGTTTTGACCTGTCAACTATGACAAGGTGTAATCTCTCTATGCAGTATTCTGTGAAATGTGCTCGAATCCATATTTACTCACAGTATGGTATTGTGAAAAGAAAAAGAAACAAACAAGAACACACCTACCACGGAAGGATAAATTGTGAGGCAGTGTTTCACACCCCCTTCACATCACACACACACACTCTCTCTGAAGACCCCAGCTCAAGCCAATGCTGAAAACTATACTGTTACTCACTTGCACCTTCAAATGTTACTGAACTCTTGGCACTCTTACCTGGTCTTTCTTTGTTCTGACATGGGATGCACAAACCTAAAGCTTGGATTCTATGAATGACACTACCTGGCCATCAGCACAGCCTTGTCACAGAGTTGAATGCACCTCATTGTAGATTATTTTCGACTACTTGTGACCGAAATTTCCATGACCTCCCGGTGCCGACGGATGAAAGCTCCCGAATTATTATGTTCGTGATTGCTGATCTCCGACCTGCCTGTGGTTCAAACTTGAATTCTTATGATATGTCCATAACCAGCAAAATCTTGTGGCAGCTGACACCCTGCCTTCAACAGATGATCTATGTGGCTATATATATCCACCATCAAAACTAGATCTTTTAACCAGAGGAGCCTATCCTGCCATGAACTCTACAACAAGTTCTTCCAATAGTTCCTCCTTCAGTGTCCTCTCGATCTCCACTCCTACCTCATCGATGTCATCTCCTAAGTCTAGCCACTTAATGTCCAGAACCTTGTCCTCTGCGTTACCCCCACTAAGTTCCATACGTTTCTCCACCAACATTTGCCATGTCTTCTCCACAAGCCCTTCAGAACCCCACATGGGTGCAATCCTTCTTGTGGAATTAACCCATGGATGCCTGTCCATACAAGGAGCGAGGATCTCTGCGAGTGTCGAGTTTGTCAGATCAAACATCAGCCTTCTCTCTGAGTGTGACCATGCAACCAGTTTACTGTACTTCCTCTCCAGCTTTTCAAATAACGTTGGTTTCACTGGATGTTCCGGTGAGTAACATGCATTACAAAGCTTCCCTTGCTTGGCACTGTGAACACCAGACACAATTAGTATGTCAAGAAGGTAGGTGTAGTCCCTCTCCTCTTCATCCATGAACTCCTCTTCTAAGTAGCTATTCTGCTGAATGGATTGACAATCCTCACTATCATCCTCGTTACTCAAAGTGATAACTTCTGATGCCTCGGCACATGGATCTCCTGACTCTGAGGGTAAAGTTTTTGTATTGAGCTCTGCAAGTAAGAAAAACATTATGCACATTTGTAAGAGAATGGACTAGGCTAAGAGAGCTGAAGATCCCATTACCATTTATACTTACCAAGAAGACCTCCATTCAGAATTTTAGGACATCCCAAATCATCTTCTCTCACTGGAAGATCGAGTACAGAAACAGGGCATGGTTGCGAAGCCTCTTTTGTTCTTACAGGAGTGAGCAATTCAATATATAATTGAGAGCCATCAGTTGGTGCTTCCTGAGGGAAAGGTTAACCTTTTAGGAAGATGCATGATACAAATTCATCTTGAGATTCAAGATGCAACTGAATATTACTGGAATTTTTAAATTAAAAAAAAGAAAGAAGTATTCACCTACATACCAAGAAAAAGTGATCGACGGATATGTACCGACAAGGTGTCACATTAAATCTTGGAGAACATATTTCAGAAGGCTAGTTGTCGATCATGAAACAAAAGCAGAACAAAAGCAACAGTGATGAAAATAATCTGAAAAGCTTCAGAATTAACAATAACAAGGACAAGCCTCCAGGTAAATAAGAAATTTTGAAAGAAAATTCCCCCATTTGTTCTAAATCCTGTATCTCCTGCGCTAAAAAAAAAGGGTCTATATTTTGGAAAGATAGTGAGTTTGGGAAGGTTTTTGGTGTGTCTCGACCATGCCATGTCATGTGGACAGTATGAGCATAGGGGGTCCACTCCATGTCAATGATTTGCAGACAGGTCTCTACATGAATGTCAGGTTGTGCTTCTCCACTCGGACCTGTGCCGCAGCTTTCTGTTGGTAA